AAATTTTAAGAAATGTTGAAAAGTTTATTTATTATTTACAAATAAAAATATTGAGTTTAATACAATATTTAAAAATTTCGTCTGATCACATATATTTAAAAATATATCAATCAATATACAATATTAATAAATTAAAAAAGGAATATATCATACACAATTTATAAAAAAACATATTATTTACAGATCTTAATAGTACAGTTTCTTTCCAGCGATGAATCACCTTTCTAATTTTTGTGATTTATTTTTGAAATGTATTTAGAAATATAATATTCTCTCCGTTCAAAAATATAAAATAATTTTTAAAGAGTTTAATATTAAAAAATATAAGACATTTTTAATTTTTGAAGTGTAATCATTATCTTTTTTTTAAAAGTATCCCTATTGATAATGACTTTATATTTATTATAGGGTGTTTAGTAAGGACAAATATAAAATGATATGATTAATTTAAAAATAAATAATTATTTTATTAGAGGTGAGATATGATTAAAAATATTTTATATTTTTAAATAGAAAAAGTAATATATATAATAGGAGGAGGAACAATAGGCAGGATTAAAGTAAAATATAGGATTACTGTAATGTGAATAAATAATAACGCAAATTAATGGAGCGAGAAGGCCGCCAACCCTAAACAAGATAACTAGAAGACTAATATTAATATTAAACACATTTTTCTTTGTAGGTGATGACATGGAAAGTGATGTGATCACTGATTAGTACTATTCCACAGCATGCTAACAAAGATTACAGAGAGAGAGAGACAGAGACAGACAAAGATAACACTTTGAGATTTGGAGGGCCATTCTCAATTTTCTTTTAACCCAAGATTCTGTGGTCAGACAGAGACTCAATGCTTCTGTCCCTATTTATTTATTTATTTAGTCTCCCTAAAAATCTTTTTTTTGGGTTTTAATGCAGTGAGAGTGAGCTTTCGTTCTCTTCTTTATGATTTTGTCATCTTCCAAATGAAAACCACTTCTGCAATTCTCAATTATTAGTATATTCCTTCGGAAACACACAGACACAGTACATAACCTTAACCAAAGCAAAAACAATTAATGATACGATTACCGCACGGTCATATAAGATCGGTACTTAGGTCATAACACAAATCTGCTCAACAAATAAAAACTTGTTGATAATGATCATGATCATTGTACATGATACACACAAAGTAATCCTATTTTTATTTCTTAATTTAGTCAAACTTTGTTAATTATATTTCAGACAAAACTGGATTTTGTTCCAACAAATCTACGTATTAATTACACATATGGCTTAAGGATAATGTTAAGATTGACTGAGGTACTTGGTGATGTGCTTTTGCTTTTGAAAATGACTGAAAGCTAAATATATTAGTCAGGTTCAGACATATTCCTCCCAAGGGTCATTTCTGATAATGACATGTTATTAGGGCTGTAAACGGAGCAAAACTTAATAATCAAACTTTTTGGATGTTTATCACTCTTGTAGTATTTGAAAACTGTTTTTGAAAAAATAGTTATGATCTGCATATAATAAATTATAAAAAAAAATGTTCTGACTAATATAATGATATACATACATACATATATATATATAACTAAGAACTTTTTAATTAAATTTCTTTCTTTTACAATTGACAAGCTATTTGGCCGCCCAATGCAATGCAGATATAGATACTGAGCCCCGCGCCCATCTGTAAATTTAAAAAAAGGGAAAAAATGTGGGTTTCATATATTTTCTATGGAATCTAATGAATGAATTATCATAAAGTTTTAAGAAATTTAGTGTCCAAGTGAGTTAAAATTGCAACTTCACTAAACTTTAGTAATTGAGAAACATGGACATAATTTGCCCCGAGATTCGCACTAAATATTGCCCATGCTATTAGATCCAATTATATTGTCTAGCTATATGCATGGATCATGATTGTCCGTGATAACAAAACCATTTGCACCTCAAATATTAAAAGTGATTCTTCTTGTTACATATTCGTATAATTGGAACAATTATGTTCTTTCTTCATACTTTGAGGGTATTTTCTAGATAGACTTGCACACAATGTGTGTGAGTGTATATCTAGAGAGAGAGAGAGAGAGAGAGAACTGCACTAGTCCATGCTTCAATGCGCAAGTGAAAAGAAAAGGAAGGGAAAGAAAAGAGAAGTGATAATTATTACAAAGGAAAAAAATGATTGAAAAGGACAATCAAATTGAGACTCCTTTACCCCACAAGCATACATCACATAACATAAAATCAGAGGCTTTTGAATTTCATGAATAAAAAACCAATGTGAATGAATGCGTAGGAGAATGATATGATATGATAGGCCACTTTAAAGTTTAAACTTTAAACCAAGCCTCCATATTGGACCCCAAGATATATATATGTCTGTCTGCAAAATTCCCTTTCACATTTTGCCCATTTGCTCCTCTTATGATGGAATTATCTCATTATTTAACCAACCTGAGTTTGACAATATGAAAACCCACCTTGCTTTTCTTAATTATATATAAGGCAACAAAAGTGTCAATGTGCATGTGTACAATTCCAGAACATTATCTCTGTCTCTCTCTCACCACTTGGAATCTTACTCAATGGTGTCATTTTCTTAAGGGGCTGCCTAAAATAGCCATGATTGATTACATATATTTCTTGGAGAATTAGTTTACACATGATCAAGCAGGCCTATCTATCATGGGATAGAAGACTTGAGTTTTCCTTAAGATTGCCTGAACAGAAAAATATTTGATTCTGAACAAAATGTCTGAGAACATCTTGGTGTATATAATATTACTTTGAGATTTCTCGAGAGAAGGAGATTTAATGACAATGAAATGGATTCTCTTCTCTTTTCCTCTGAATTGGTATTTGGTTTGAGTCATTCGGATAAAATCTGGTATAATTTAAAATATTTTTAATTGATGCTAAAATTTTCTCAAAAGAAGATAAGTAAATCTGTACTATTTATATTTAACCTTGAACGAGTAACAAAATAAAATAAATAAAGAGAAGAAAAGTAAAGAATCTCATTTGGCATGATATTCATGCCCACCAGTTGATACCTACGATAACCCCTTGAGAAGATAATAAATTTAGAGGCACAGATCAGTGAAGGAATCCCAATGGAGAATGTGAAGTTTGGCATGTTACTAAAGCAAGACAAAGGAAGCAAATAAGCATTTCAAGAGAGAGATATCTAGGCATATCCCTTCCTTGGGATTTTCAAATATATTCCTCTATAGATTAGCGTGTGTATGTGTCTAATATTATTACTACTATTATTATATGTTTCTGAGACCAACCTTGCTCACTGGCCACTGCTGCTCACCTTGAAAATGCAAAAGAGGAAGAAAAATTAAATAAAAAGATGAGATAGATATAAAGGGAGAGGTGATATAGATTTGCACCTCCGTAAGAGTTGTGTGTTCAAAGTAGTCTTGCATGAAAATCATCAGTAAAATTGGTTTCCAAGGTTGAAAGGATAGCAAAAAAAGAAAAAGATGGATTTCACTTTTGTTGGTTCCCTTTTTCTTTTCAATGATAAAGTGGTGAGACTGAGATGCAATTATGCTCGAAAGAATATGTACATTAAAGAGTGCGCTCCCACATGAAGGAATATAAAAACTAAAACTAGCATGGGTGCTTCTTAAAATTACCAGTAATTTTTCTTATAATTACAACATGATCTTTTGAACATTACAAGAGTGTGTTCATTAAAATAATAATAACAAAATTAAAACATTATTTTAGAATTGAGAATATCATTAAGAAATACCAATTTTTGTAGTTACTAATTGGTTTTTAAAGTTTTTAAGTATCAACAATATAATTTATTGATTATATTATTCACTGTAATTTTCTCTAGACAATCAATAACTTATTTGGTTCTTTTGGCTTTTGCTTTGCTTTTGGTCTCAAGGCTGCTTCATTGCATTTGGATGACCCAAGTGCAGATTATTGTTCCAATTCCCAAGTTCTTAGTCGTAATGTTTGTTTTTAGAAAGGTATATAGTGTTTTTAGGTAATTAGTTAAGAAAGAAAATTGTGATGAACATGTAAATTTGACCATATGCTAATATCTTGACTGGAAAGTCAAAATGGGAAAGCAAGTCAAGCTTTGCGGAGTCATGGACCCTAGAATGAAACTTAGAGGGCCAAGATATTGAGTGGAGAAAATTGGTAACAATGTTGATTCACAAGTTCATTCTATGAAAATTAGCAGTTAGTTGTTTTAGTGACAATGTTACCTCCCTCATTTGGAAGATGTTCTAAATTCAAACTAACCATTGACATATTTATGTGTGCGTGGGGATGTTCATGTCTCCCTTTCATATGAGGAAGGGTTGGGTTAGGCATAACATAATTTTTTGTGAAGTTTAATCTATGGAAAGGTAATCATAATAGTACCATTTCAAAATAAGCATAAAGCAATATGTTCAGAGAAACACCAAGAAACAAAGAAGTTCGGACAGCCATGTTTAATTTCAAGAGTTTATAACAAGTCTATCGATATCTTTCCATTATGTTATGCGTTTTATGTCCAGCTCTCCTATCTTGCTGTTTGCCGTAAGACTTGTTACTCTATCGATCTTGTTTATTTTTTCATCCTGCTAAATTGAACAAAAGCCCATTAACTTTAATTATTTGAAAATAGCTCCGTTGATATGTAGAATTAATAGGAAACCCTCCTAAACTGTGGAGACCGTGCACATACCTCTCCTACCAACAATTGTTCCCTTATTTCACTGTAATACATTATTGATAACACACACACATATATATATATATTCACTACCAAAGTGCTATACATTATTGATCACACACACACAGGGTGTTTATCGTAAAGTTTTAAAAGTTTGGAAAGACTTTGCTCATAACCCCAAAACTCTAGGAAGGTCATGTGCAATTTAGCTTTTACATCTCAATTTCATGCCAATAACAACCGAACTTAGGTAACTCATTTAGACACGGTCAAGAGTTGAGCAATTTGGGACACAAGTAACTATGAGCAATTAAACAACAAATCGTAAAGATCTATTATCAAGAGCCAAAATTCAACTACCAACCAAAAAACTGAACTAATAATTTATCCCTTTTAACTTGGGGATGAAAGGCCACTGCAACATCAATGTCACAATTAATGATTTAGCTAAGTATATACGGGGATCATTCACATTAGCCGATACGCAACAGTCATCACTAGTCAGTGTTTCTCGAAAAAGATGGAAGCGGCATTCCATCCTGCGGGCGGAGGATGACAAGTATACCAAACATCCCAAGCATTGGAAGAACAAGCAACCACTTCATCAGCTTGTAGTAGTACATATGGAATGTTAGGGAGAACTCATCAGAGAAATGGAGCCCATTCTTGTCAACCATCTCGACCAAAACTGTTCCCGTTGTCCTAACCGCCACGGTTGGCAGCCTAATCCGATATTTCCCTGGGTGATTATAGATCTGGCTCTGCTTTATGGTTCTCTCTCCTTGGTAATTACCAGGGACTAGCAAGGATGTCTGATGAATTTACACAACCATGCAAGGAAAATGACAGATGAATAGTTTAGGTACTCGAAGGAGGAAAACAATACAAAATCAATTCCTTCATGAACTTACAGTGACATTGTATGGTCCTTGATGCCCAGATGGATATCTGTACTTATCTACAATCTCAATTTCTACCCAAAATTTCTTGCCTTCTTCATCACGGAAAGCTCTAGAAGGATGAGTCACATAGATACCTTGACGATTGTGCCTATTTGCTACATTATTTCTTCCTTGATTAGGCAGTCTCCATGCCTGAGAGGGCACAAGGTAACTTAAGTTAAAATATAAATTTTAAAAAAGGTTTTCGTAATTAAATTTTCAATATATCATGCCTTTTCTCATTCCGGAAAAAAAAAAAAAACACACACACACACACACACACACACACACACATCATGCCTTTAAGGGATGATGAGGGGAAGGAGTTGAGAAGCAAAAGACATTTCCATTCATAGTTGTGACGATAAGATCAAGATCATCCCCTCCATCAACATTGTCCGCCAAAACCATACTATATCTGCAACAAGTGACTCAAATTTAGCTTTTGAAAGGTTATAAACAAGGAAAGCCCATGACACAGGATTCAGTAATATCTTACGAAGTTTCACCAATGTCGACAACATCAGCACATCCAGTAGGTCCATCAATGAGATACAGATAACCATCAAATGATGAGGTAACAATAGTCAATCCCTTCTTTTTCTCCCCACGTTTACTTAAATCAACTAAAAGAACTTGATTCATAACTCTTCCATGAGTTCGGTATGGATAGTGTCCAACCGATGACCCATCTCTGCCATCAAGAACATGAATCTTCCCAGATAGTGTTGGCACCACAAGTTCAGTGTGGCCATCTCCATCAGCATCACCAATTGTTGGACCCTGCAGAACATAAGTAACATTATCAATCATGTGCCACAAACTTTGAGAATTGGCTAAATGGTTCCCTATTTATAGAAGAATGAAAGCAATCCAATTTGTGCAGAATTACGAAGAAATGCTTGTAGCTACATTTTTAGGACGCCAAAGGGTCTTACGTCTGGTCATGATTTCTTTTACAGTGAAAGTGCTCAGATTTTATAGACAATTTGAAGGCCTAGCAGGAAGGATCTAATCACATCCGAAATTGATTAACCCATAAAGGAATTTTCAGTTATTACAAGTGACAACCATTCAAAGAAAACATGAAGCAAAGTTTGTTTTAAAATTAGCACTTTAATTATAACCGCTACTGTTAATCCTGTGCCCTCCCAATCTTTGAAGGAACCCACATCCTCCTCTTTCTTCCCTCTAATAAAATTTCTTATTTGGTCCGAGGAGAAAAAATCTTTCTATGTAAAAGTTACTATACAGTTTATTATTCTGAGTTAGACTCCCCATTTTAATCTTGGAAGTTCAAATATTGGATTATGTTAAAAATCCCTTAATCTTGCATCCTGAATTCACAGCCTACATGCTCCAGTTGCATGTATAAGCAAAAACTGCAGATTTTCTCAGCAATCAAACATTCGCCACGAGTGCCTATAATGAATTTGACTATCCCTAGCCAAGTTTTCAAGCCCCATGAACTTCCACCATTCAGGTCCAAACATGAGTAAAGATAAACTAATCAAATTGTTTAAATATATGTGCATGATTACAAATTAAATGAGCTGAGCATAGGATCTTTATATATATCAGTTTTTGCACTAGGCTACCTATCAGCTAGAGTGGAAGATTACAGTGATGTTTATATTACAACCAAATTCATAGAACCTTGGCGACCATCCCATAGTTACACGATCATCTATAACACAATCCCTACTAGCATATAATATAAATCAAACAAACTACATCAGGCATTTACTGGCTAAGGAGTAGCTTTGTGAAGACCAAGCAGGGCAGCCATCCCATTCATTCTATTAAAAGACCAAAATAAGTAATCCAATACAAAAGAGAGCACAATCCTAATTGCCAAAAAAATTTATGGAAACGGGCAAGGGTTTTGTGAAGATATATAGTTTACTCAAAATAAGAATTGCAAACCCAGAAAGATGCCCTGTAAATTAGGTTAAGAACAAAAGGTAGCATAGAGTGTAAGTCCTAGCCAACTATTTCTCATCACCCTTGATTTAACCATGCCATCACGCTTAATATTCTACCTCTTCTCAAGCTAAAAATCATCCAAATTTCAGCTTGTTACAAGTGAAACTGGATTGAAATGAATAAAATCATGTACAAACCAGGAACCTAAACTCCAATCAGAGAACAGAATAAATGTTGTCCAAGAATTAAAAAAAAAAAACTCAATTATTGTCAATTCAACTACAATATTGGTTCCAAAGTCTTCTACAACCTTTCTTTCCTTACTTTCTTAAAATTCGAAGTTTCCACACGCCAGATATGATGCTAGCAAAATTTTGGTTAGAGCTTAGAATGTCTAGGCTATAAGACTTTCAATTTAGTAAAGCTTGGTAGAAAAATTGACAAATCGGTAGTACAATGTCAGTCAAGTAATTTGCTGATGTTCCAATGATCCATGTGTGAATCTAATGACTTCAGTAAACTGAGATCGGGACTTACCTGTGGAATAAGACTCTTCAGATGCTTTTCCCATATTAAAGCTCCTTTGGGAGTCCACGCAGCAACATTTCCATGCGTGTCAGCAGTAACTAGCTCAATCTTGCCATCATCATTAATGTCAGCAGCAACAACTGAGCCTTGAATCTCAGCCATTTCAAGAGGGAACTTTTCTCTAACCTTCCCTATTTTGGGGAAAAAAACTTTTAGCATCCAATTAAGCTATATATATATATATATATATATCAATGCAGATAAGTATTTAAAAATGCTGCTTCATCAAGAAGCAGCAGCAGCGGGTAACAACATGATGCCTCTTATCACACTAGGTAGAGTCAGTTACATGAATTGCACAATGCCACTGTGCTATATCAACAATCAAGCCTTTGAATATATTGTTAACCAAATAAGCATCTTGAAAAAAAAAAAAAATTTAAACCCATAGCTCAAAACATGCTCCACTGAGATGTTTCCCTAAAATTGACAAGTGGATTCACTCAGCTAACCCAGATAATTTATAAAATTTAGAAAGGAGAAAACTTTTTTTATGGTTGTAAAAGAGGTAGGCAAGATTGAAGGCTTCAACACATTGCATACCATACTGAGCAGAGCCATCCCAAAGTAAGAGTAATTGTCAGAAAATAACAGCAGAAACAATTAAGGCTGCATAAGAGTGTAGTTCCACAAGCTCAAGCACTTTACTATAACAAGCCTAGATATTGCTTTTACCGTAAATTGTTGAGTCAATTTATGTCATTTCTCTTGGAAGCTCGTAGGACCATTGATAAATTTAAGGCTGTTTGGGAGTTTCGAGAAGAGAGAACTGGAATGATCAGTAATGGAGAGGGGTGAGATGGGATGTAGTGGGAAGAGTAAGAGTAACCCCACAATTGTTAGAGGTTCAGTGAAGAAAGGGATAATGCTCCCCTTTATATAGTTTGGATGTTCGTAAAATAGTGTTCATGAGAGGCTAGGTTAAAATCAGCCTTTTGATTATAAGTAGATTGGACTTGTATTAGTTGTACAATCCTTATTCTTCCCAGCGCACTGCCATTATGCATCTGTCTCCGTCCCACATTTCACTGTTGTCTGACAAACACACTGGCATTCTCAGATGGGATCACTGCCTTCTAACATCCTTTTTTGACCAAAGTTTAGCATGACCTTTGATATTTTGTCGTTTTTACAGTTATAACCTAGTTTTTCCAATGTATATCAATCTTGAGTGGTTTTATTATTTTTCTCTATTTTGTGATAATTATAATTATAATATTCTATACATTGTTGAATGGACTCTGATACCATGAGAAGAAAATAATTCAAATGCTTGATTTCTATTCACTGCACAGGACTATTCATATGCACAGGAGGAGTCTCAGTCAATAACGGCTTGTTAATGTCCAAAATTCTATGATCATGCTATCCCTAGAATCAGGTAATATGTGATTACAATATCTGCAATAAATAGTTAAATATTCTCTATTCTAACAGGATGGAACGAGTATTAGAATTGTGTTTTTAATATACGCCTTAATGTGCAATCAAATGGTGGAGACTAACTATGGGGTAAAGATTAGACAAAGTAGTCAAGAGAGCAACTAGAAGAATCTTGAGAGCCTTTTCATTGGAAGCAGATCAAAGAACTAAGAAATATTTGTTTTGCGTAATATCTAAACTCTCTCTCTACAATCTGATTTCTTATTTTTCTGTTTTAACTGTCTTTCAGATATTTTCTTCTTAGATTTGGATTCTAAACATTCTTGTTATCTGACCGAGACATCTATTCATTTCTGATTCAGGAACAATAGAATTTGAAGCCTTGTGCTCAGCGATTAACTCAACGAATGCTGATTTCCTCAAAATACACACTTTGCCTACCACAGACATGTCCTAGCTGCTGAACCTTTTGATTTTTGGGAAATATATGCTGTTCAAATTTCTCTGTATTTATTTTTCTCCACTGACAAGAGTTAAAAATTATTGAAAGCAGATGCTCAAGAAATATATGCTGTCACCAAAATAGAAGAAAGAAATGTATGCTTCTAATGTTACCCTCATTATAATATTTACTTTGTTTAATAAATGAAAAGGATAAAATAGTAATTAAAATAAATAATGGGGAAGCAAATTATCCAACAACATAAAAGATTGGGGTTTGGAAATTGGGATGAAACCTGGGAAGGGAAGGTTTAAAAACACATCCTAATCCGCCCCACTCTATTACCTTCATCAACAGACATAATGGCTTATATTCTCTTTGGATTCCTATCAATCCATTACCATCCCAATCATGAATTTTAACTTAAAAAAAAAAAAATTCAGAGGCAACACCGTCCCAGATCAATGGAAATGTTTGCATGCATGGGAGCATAAACAATTCATGCTCAGTGGCTGTAGAAGTTTTTCTACAAACAATCACCAACATCAAGTATCAATAGTGAACCTAAATCCAAGAGAAAGCGGTCCTAGTTAACAAACGCATTGCAAGAGAAATATTATGCAAGACTTCAGATATTACCGTGATGATCCAACACATAGAACAAGCCATAGGAAGTTCCAACAAGGATGTCCAGATTTCCATCACCATCCAAATCAACAACAGTTGGAGAAGCATATATGTAGGCTCTAAAGTTTGCAGTATCGGTACTCAGATCAAGTTCTGCAGTCCACTTAACTTGCTTTGTGTCCAGATTAAAAACAACAATAGCACCAGCAACATATTTTCCAATATCAATATCACCCAGTTCTTTCATATGATCCTGGTTGTCATAATACCTGTCAGCTTAAAAAGTGGCAATTACTGACAGACCAGTAAATTGATAAACCACACTTCTTACAAGATAACACCGCCATAACAAAACCAACTCTCTCATTCCTAAATCAATGTCAGAAATCATATTGCATCATTTGCTGTGGAAAAAGGTGGGATTTCTTGATTTCATAAATTAGTAGCAAACTTCAGTTCACATGTCCAACAAATAAAGCAAAAAGATAAGCAAATGATTTTAGCATAAATATAATTGTATGCCGCCTTGATAATATGAAAAAACTTCAATCCCAAAAAGTTTGCTATAGACAAGATAAAGATTATGTGAAATTGTTATGGACATTATTTCTGCAGCAAATGTAATAATAAATGTATCAAATGCACATAAAGTTCCTATTTTCTCAATTAGCAGAAGTTCCAATATGTACTTGGTCGTGATTATGCAATGATTTTTTCAAATAAAAAAGGCTAAAAATACAATGCAATCCATCCTTTTCATCCAAAAATTGAGTGTCATCTGCGTTTACTCACATCCATCATTCAAAATTACATCCCCAATATGTCCATGCACTATACAGATTGTCAAACCCATTTATGATGAATTTCTTGCTCTCTTAGAAAGACTGTAAGCTTCTAATGAACTTTCTTTTATTAGTTGGTAACCCACAATAGTACTAGCATAGTGACATTCACCATTCTATACAACAATATAGGTGACAGATTCCATTACCAGGATGCACATGCAGAAATCAAGGAAAAGCAATTTCTTTTAGAGGCTATCTATTCTTCCCTCTTGTAATCCTCTTTTCCATTAAAGTTTCCTTTTCTATCAATAACAATCATATTAATAATAAATGAAAAACTACACATGATTGTTAAAAGATTCTTATTTTTAATCACACACACATATAAACACGTTTGTTATCATGAAAGAAAGCAGACAAAAGAAAACAGAAAATACAACTCTAGAGACAGACTCACTCGTGGTCAAAGAAATAAGAAACAGCAACAACCATTTCTGATACACCATCATTGTCAATATCTGCTATGACCTGGCAAAGCAAAAAAAGACAATGTTTATATTCTTGCACAGAACTTTAAAAATTTAAACATGTATAAAATGAAGGGTTGGATCTCACAGGGGTACATAATATGTGTGAGTCAATATTCACATAATCCTCTAATCTCTCATGCTTTTCTTCAGTAAACTCTTCATCACCCCACATTGATTCATCAACATAATCATCATAATCATAACTATACTCATCAGCCAGCTCATCACTATTGCGGAATAACTCGAAGGATGAATCAGCATCTGCTTCCAAACCCTCAGCATTTTCCGCAGTTGCAGCCTGAAGACCCTCATTATTACCCTCACTGGATTCAGAACCGCCTTCCTTTTCTCCTTTTGAGTTTTTATCTTCCAGAAGATGTCTGGCAGTACTGGTGTTATTATCTACATTAACAGTTTTCTCAGAACCAGCATCCAAAGATGAATTATCAGCATTGCTAGGCATCTTAATATTTTGTTCTGTTCGACTTTCATTTTTTTCCTTGCCAGGCACTGGGTTGGACATATTCCCTGCACCAAGGAGACTTTCTGTTGATGTGACATTTGAAGAATTGTGTTCACGTCTACTTTCAATTGTTTTCTTGTCAAACTCTGGATTGGGTACACTACCCACACCAAGGTGACTTTCTGTTGATGTGGCAGCTGAGGTGTTGAGTTTATGCCTACTTTCATTTGAATCTACAAAATAAAACATTACTCACGGATAAAATTAAGTTCTGCAACAAGTGCACATTTGACAATAATACAACTACCAAACCCATGGCCCAATTATGTAGATGACAGAATAATGCCAAGCTCTAACCCACACACACTAGTGATCCAAAAGTAGCAATACTTACGAGACATAGATTTCATTATAGTTGCTTCTTGGAGAAGCTGTTCATCTTGGACATCAGGATGAGAACGATCTACAGGGTCTGAATCTAATCCTGCATACCAATCTTTGTGCACTTTCCTACGAGGTACTACTAGCTTCTCTGACATCATATAGCCAGAGACCCTAAAAGTAATATTATTATAACCATAAAACTAGTAACTCAAGCAATGGATAATTTGTTAATAGGAACAAATTTTGCAAAATAGTCACCTGAAAAACAACACTTCACCATTGAAGGTGGCCAAAGCTATCTCTCTCACCCCATCCTTGTCTATGTCATATAGAAGTGGACTAGAATGCACTGTTGACTGGTGGAAAGCAGGCCAACCTAACAAAGCATTCTGAAAGCAGTTAGTTATTCAAAAAACCATAAATATTAGTGAACACAAAAAACTAATTGGCATGCATTGTCTTCAGTATTGTATTCTACTACAGATACACCACACACTGACCTTTTCAAACTGTAACATTTCTTATCACTCATTCCTTCAGAAGTCCACGAGATTGATAGACCATATTGACAGACAATATCATATTAGCTGTATACTTTTTAACATGTATTTGCTATAATTATCATGTGACAAGGACTAAAATAGATTCAATTAGCATAGTTGATAAAAATCATAATGATATCAGCATCATACTTTACAATAAAGGGAACAGAAATATTCTCAATCAATTTTGCTATCCTCAATTTGTAAACCATTTACCAAGACACTTCTGAAAAGCCTCATAATTTCCAAACATAGCTTTAGCATCATTTACTTCTCTTTGGTGATAACGCATTTGTTAGTATGATGTTTTACTCCCAAGATCTTAAGTCTTAACTACCTTTTTTCTTCTTCTTATGCTTGGTGAAATTAAACTCTGTAGACTTAATTATAGTTTTAGTCTAAAGTTCTTTTAATCTTAAGACTGTTCCCACACATATCATATATAACTATTATTTTATTTACATCTACTCCAAAATAAATAGGGGAAAACATTAATCAATGCCTTATCCTTGATATATCTACCAAGTTTAACAAGATTAAATGCATAGAAGAAGATACAATGCATGTCATTATCATGATAGGAATTTATCCCATGATTTTTATACCTGGCATTTTGTCCCCGTCAGAACCTTCAAGAACTTCAAGATAGTGAACAAAAGAGGGAACCACGATTTCAAGCTTACCATCACTGTTAACCAAGAATAACATATTTTATTCAAGTGCGAGACTAAGTTGCTAATGTAGGTCCAACACACAGTCCAGACTTACATGAAATGAAATTATAACCATATCGGAATTCAATCAACACAGAAGATTAATACAATTATAATTACATTACAAATATAATAAAAAATGAAAGCCATGGTACCTTACACAAATAACAAACGTGATAAGTTGGGATTATAACAATTTTACCTGTTAATATCAGCAACCAAGGGGGTAGCATATATGCTGGAGCTAACTTCAGTTTGCCATCTTAGCTCCAGATTCTTTGGGCATTGTGTATTTAACAAAGCATCCTCATCCCTAACAATGGATATGAAATATCAATTAGTAAGGCAAGGAGACCATCGTAAAGAAAACCAAGTATATGTTTCAAGGAATTGAATAAAAAAAGAATATGGAATGGAGAAAAGTTATACTGCAAATAATATGTAATTAATAAACAAGGATAGTCAGAAGTAAGGCATGGCTTACATGTCCGGATATCCCAGGGAGTCATCAGTAGCTTCTCGCTCCCGAAATGCATTCTTCTTGGACTCCTCGCCGAGAACCAAACTCAAGCAAGTACCAAGAATCAAACAAAGCAAAAGAACCTTGGTCCCCGACGATTTCATATGATCTACCTAGGTTCGTTTTAGTTTAAAAATTTCCCAATACCCGTCACAATTGGAATCAAAATGAAATTGCTCGGGCGATGAAATCAAAATTCCCTGCCCAAAAGGAAAATATAGTCCATAAACCCTAGAATTGCATCTCTGGATCTTTCTCGGGTATGGAAAGTGAAATATACTGATTCCAGAGCTGAAAATTGAAAGAAGAGTTAGAGAAAATGGCGTGCACAGGCTTCAATTGTTTGTGACTTTTAGAGTTCACTGCAGCTCTCTGACTTTGGAGCTCATTTCTACAATGGCCGCAAGAACTGTGTAGCTAGGGGCACTGAAAACCATATTAAACTATTCCTAGTTGATATTTTTACATTTTTGAAAACGTTAACTTGATACCAAAAACGAAGGTTAATAATAATATATTCGTGATAAAAATTATAACATCGCTGATTTATTTTAATTAATTTTTTTGCCATCAACCTTCCCTGATGAATATAAATGAATGTTTTTATATAATTATTTGATTGACTTGATTGATTATTTGATATTTAATAAAATTGGATCAAAATTGAGTAGTTTCAATTCCAATTGAAGATTAATGAAAAAAAAAAACCCATAAATTGATACGATAATAGTTATTTTTATTTTCTCTTTTATAATGCAAAGTTTCATGCTTATTGAATATAATTTTACATATCAGTCCATCGTATCTATCGAGTTGTTTACTTTAGACTTTAGAGAATGAATAAGGAATTAAATAAAAACGTCATAAAAATAATTTTAAAGATATAAAATAAAGTCTCTATTTTACTTCAAGAAAAATAAAAAATGAAAAAAAAATATTTTATAGAAAGAGAAGAAAATATCTTTCCTTCCTCTCAATCAGGTAAATGTTAAGGTGCTCCTTTAAATTATTTCAGAATCAGAAGCTACATGTAAATTATTGATGAATATGTAAATTAAAGCGCTCCGTATTCAACTTTTTAATAAATAAAATAAAATGTTATATTCCTTTTGTTTAAAAATATAGGATATTTTTTAAAGAGTTTGATATTAAAAAATGTAAGGCATTTTTAATCATTTATGATGTAATCATTATTTTTTTTCAAAAGTGCCCCTATTAATAAAGAGAAAATTAGCTCAATGGTATTAAAAAATATAACTCTCATAAATTATGGATGAAGTTTTTAAATGTTTTTGAACATGGCCCATTCATAAAATTAATTAGATGTGTTTTCCTTTTGTATCCTTAGAATAAATTTATGATTAAAACATAATATATTTGATTTAACTAATTTTTAGCTGACTAAATCTTTTATTTTTATTTTAAAAAATCATATTGTGCATGCCCCCTTTCTGATTTATCATCTTTGAATATTTTCTTCATTAGATTTTTGGATTTGATTTTCTTAGATCATTATATTCATCTCTCGTACAGTGCTTTTCTTCATTAAAATTTTTGATTTAATTTTTCTAGATCATCATCTTCATCGTAGAGTTTTTCCTCTCTTTCCCTCTCTATTTTTCTCCAGATATTACGAAGAGGACATTAGATATTAAAAAGAAAACTCCATTACTGATCTACAATATTATATTATTGATATATGGCTGTATATAAATGATAAACAAATTGATAAATTTCACTGATGTAACTTATATATTAGTGATATATAATAGTATATCATTAATATACTATCGTAGATCAATATAACCAGACAATCAAACATAAACTTATTTATAATTGATATACAATCATATATCAATAATGTAGTATTGCAAATCAGTAACACGAAAAACGCATAATCATTTTCTTAAAATAAATCAAACAAAATCTCAAGAAACCCTTACTTGAACTCTAGCTTTTGTAACAGTCTGATCGGATTTCCTCACCCTGAATTTGCAGCTTTAGTATGGCTTTATGTATAAGCTGCAATTTCAGACTTCCTTACCTGCTTCCAGTCTACCTCGCCTTTCCTCACGTTCTTATGGTCTCCTAGCTGAATCTCTAACTCCGTTTATCTATTGATGTGAGTTGTTTCATTGTCTATTGTCAGTTTCTTCACCGCCGTGATCGAGAGTATAGTTTTGTCTCCATGTATTCGAGTGGGTGAAAGTGAAACCAGTGTGAAAAAGAAAAATCCAGGTATTGTGATATTTAAGAGTAGTTTTGTCTTTTGTATCAAAAGTAAAATAGAAAACGGTCATTATCATAATTTAAAAAAAGATGGGTTATTAGTTTTGTTTAGCTATATAATATTGGCTAAATTTGCTATAGCCTCATTGATAAATGTCTTCATATTTATTGTAAAGTGTTTAATAAGGATAAATATGAAAAGATATGGTTAGTTTGAAAGTAGGTAACTATTTTATTAAAAGATGATATTATATATAAACAACTCTCTTTTCGGCGCCTGAAAACATGATAATATTGATGCTCTATATTGTAAAAGATAAAATAATGCATATAAAAAAGAATAAGATGATTGATGACTTGCGCTGAGGTTGTTGAGAGAGGATTGGATCAAGATAGTTGCGTCCCATGTCCCATTCCAAAAAATAAATGAGAGTGAATTTTAGTTGTGTCCCATCCTGTTCAAAATCGAGGTTAGATTGGGACGGAAATGGGATATCTTGATAAACTAAAATTCAACTATAATTTAAATTATAAAATCAAAACATCTGGGAAGATCAAGCTAAAGGTAACTTCAAAAATTCAATATATATGCAAGAGGCATAACAAATTATTTAGACAAAAATTCATGTGACCACACCCATAAATGGACTATTTCCCTTCCCACACTATGCTATGGTGATCATTTATCAATGAATCATTCTCATATCTATAAGAACCAATGTTACTTCCTTCTTCCTCTTATGCCCCTCAATTCAAAAATAGCACCACAAGCCTCATTAATGATAATGGAATGGCCGAATGTGATTGTAAGTTTGTGCAACTTGTGAGCTTGAGATGGTTAAGTTAAAAGCAAAAAATGAAAAAAAAAAAAAAAAGAACACACACACACACACATAATATTCAAAATAAAACAAGATGTCTCGAGAGTAATTTTCAGTCCCAACCCATTCCAAATCCTTTTTTTTTCCTCCTCCCATGGAGGCCAGTCCTGTTTATTTTCAGACCAAGAAAAGACCTATCTTAACTTGATCAAGATGAAACCAAACTGATTGGGACAGACACAAGCATGAACACCCATAACTAACACCATATTTTCTGTTTATTCTTCAATCTCACCCCTACCGTGGCCCTCAGTGATTAATGTTCATTGGTAATGTAAAATATTCAACTTTGTTGAGAACAGTAGGACATTATCGGTTAAAGGAAAGAAAAGAGAGAGATCACATTTCTCGGGTAGGTGCTAAACCCTGGATTCAATAACAGCAGTGAAGGCAAAAGCAGGGTAGAGTTCAGCGTGCTTGTGTGGCTACAATGGAAATAGAGGCAGGTGATTACTCCTCCAATTAATATTCACAAACAGGAAAACTCCTGATCAATGTAATGAAATTTGACTCTAATAAACAGCTACCCTTTGAACAACTTATAATCACTAAAAATGAGAAAATTGATCAAATATACATTGGGATCCTAAGCCTAACTCTATTGATCTGGAGTCCTAGCTAATTACAAAACAAGGAACCCTCTAGAAGATGGTTACATATGGCTATATCCAGGTAAAGAAATCCCAGTGAAAGGGCATCAGTGGATAGACTTGGTTCTTGCTTATACACCAGATGTAGCAATATCCCAACACTTTGATTCATTCTCCCACCATTGATAAAGCTGCTGCAAGAGTTCCAGATTTAACAATGGATCACCTTCTTCGTGTTGCGTTAGTATGATGGTGTGCTTTACTGTCAATTCTTATCCTGTCAGCATACATGGGAAGGCGAATAATCTCGGAGATCTCATTCAACAAAATATCCTCCGTAATGTTGTCTTTTATACTTCGCATCACCTGAAAGAAGCCAGGTATAGGTATAGATCAGGCCCAAAAAAAGAACAGCTAAAGAGAGAGAATACAGAGAAAACGAAAGAAGCAGCCCATTTGACCTTCCTGAAAGTATTAAACTCATTTGGAGTTGATTTATCAGTTCTCACTCGCATGAATTCCCATTCCTGGTTATCAGAGTCCCAAGAACACTCTATGATCTTTCCAGAATAAAATGAGGGATCCGAACCATCTGCGGATGGGAAAGTTTACAGTAAGTAATTGCAGCAAGGCAACTGAAAAGTACAATTCATATGCAAAACATTCATTCGATGGATTGCAATATTATTATCGAAGCTGTGTCCCAGAAATGTTATAGCCTGTCTCCTGCCCAACGTATGAATCATAATAGAAAATTTGAACACGATATTTACCTATGATTTGAGCATGCGCCACATGAAGAAACAAATAAAGCCACGAGCCCATGACTAGACCATTTTCTGTTTTATCTGTAAAAGTTTTTTACTTACAAAAGATAGATGCTTGTTTTTTTTTTCTTTCGCCAACAGACAGATTCAAACAACAGCATGTATTTATTTAGAAATCAAGATCTTCCTGACCTTTGAATGCTACCCTATTCCCATCCATGAGTTTCTTCTTTCCTCGTTCGTAAAGAAAAAGTTTCTCCCCAACATCGTCAACCTGTCCACAAAATAACAGTTAGAAATTGAAAAGCTGCAAACTGGATGTGACCAATGATAAGTAAAGCACAAAACACCTAAAAATAAAAAGGATCAAATTGCGCCGGCCTATCTGAATTTTCTCAGAATTACCAAAATAACTTGATTTTCAAAATGTACACAGATCTACCTCTAAACAAAAAATTATCCTGCATTTTAGTTCAAAGTTCAGATTTTTTTTACTATAATGTCATCCATTAACCAAAACGCAATGTTGTAATACAAATATTTCAAAGGCAAGGTATTTTGGTCAAAAAAATTATAATTGCACCAAAATGTAATATAAGCTTTTGTTTTGGGGGAGATTTTTGTATGTTCAAGAATATAGAGAATGATGTAGAAAAATTTGTTAATTTATTCAAAAAAGATATTGCATGGAAAAAAAACTGACGAACAACCTCAAAGAGGAAATCAACTGAATTCATCTCAGGATATTTCCACTTCAAGAGGCCTTCATGAGTACGTGGTACATAAGGATCATCCCAGCCCTGGAAATTAATATTTGTCAGTAACAACAATTCAATCCAATAATAAGGGTAAGAAACAAGAAGAATGTAGGTTTGAGTAATGAGCAATGAAGATTTTCAACCCTCATTTGGAATACGTTGTAGTAGCATGCAGATCCCAATGTCAGAGACAGTCAAAGAACCAGAAATAAAGATAGCAAGATATCAAAAGGCAAAGTACCTCATAATGATTAAAACGTCTCATACTAGGCATTCATTTGTAAACAAGTATAATCTGTCTAATGAGATTATTTCATAAGTTGAGGGGTATAATAAATATTATAATCATCTGACATCAACTTAAAACCACCTGAAATATGAGGCCATCAGCAGCATGAGAGAGTCTTGGAATGAATTCCGTTAAGAGCTTTGTGACTGTAGAGAGCAACCAAAAATCTTTTCTCCTCACCTGAGAACCAAGTAATCAGGAAAAAGAACAAGAAATGAAGCTTAAACAATGCTCAATCCACGGTTAGAAATGCATACCCTGAATGGTTCCATGTCATATCTATAGTAAGGGTTTCTGCTCTGATATATATTATGTCGCTCCCAATTCCTAGGTTCAATCACTTCTTTCTCAAGCATCTTCCACCTTTCATAAAACGGTCGCTGTACCAAATTTAAGATGTCAATTAAACAGTTCTAGGGATATATCAAAGAATTCATACAGTAATCAAACAGATTATAAGAATAAACAACAACAACAAGCCTTATCTCACTAGATGAGGTTGGCTACATGGATTATATGACACCATTGTACTTTGTCATTTATTAAGCTTTTAGAAAATCTACTCAAATATACTGCTGTTACAATAAATCTCATGATATCAATGTGAAAATGATGTAACCTTGAGATATGGTCAGACTTACAAGAGGAGATCCAGGGGGCAGGTGGGTGTAGAAAAGAAACAAAAAATTAATCTCATAATCAATGTCAAACCAATTTGATCACAAACTACCAGCATATATTAGGAGGTGACTCAAATATCAACCACAGCACCATTTTGTTTCCTCTAGTGGAGTTTAACAATGAAACCAAGGACATCAATTAAAATATCAGCTCTTCTACAACACTTCAACTACATCATGGAATTCTGCTAATAGGTAACAAACCAAACCTCTATTACTGATACTTGGTTAATCGCTATCAGATCATATATAAGGTATCTCCTCTCCTGCTTCTTTGAATCAGGCAAAGTATCAATGATCATCTCCCCATCAAGTAATGTGTAGTGGTGAGTCTTCTCAGCCAACACCTTATGAGCCAAACAGCAAGGGAAAAAAACTATCAGATGGTGCATTATGAAGTTGAAACAGTTCTAAATAATCATAAGTAACTTCGCATAAAAAGCTGCACACATACATCATTTGTACCCCTGCACGGAAACCTCATTTGGACCCTTCGAAAATTGAAGCTTCTATCAATTAAGTAGCATCCATCCATTGTTATCAGCATCATATATCGTGTGCCATCAGCTTTCCATGTTGCATAATAATAGCGCTGCCGTAACAACTGCAAATTTTCCCTGTATTATAATGAAGGCCTGAATCATTAAGCAACAATGTCTTGCACGTTGCTCAAACAACTGATACAAATACTAAATATTTCCAAGATCATTAATAAGTTACCAAAAAATTATTGGAAAGGTTCAGAATAGAGACTTGAGCTTTCAAAGCAGCAGCAAGTAGGCACAAGCAACTTTAATTAATTGGAACCAAAGGAATGTAGTGACAAGTGCACATATTCATAAAGATTATGATTCAGTTTCAGTGAAGAAACATATCCTACTCCATCCCACATATATCCCCCCCCCAAAAAAAAAGTGTATTATATAATAGCAAGGAAAGAAATTCTCTAAATGATTGAAGGACTTAAAAAAAGTTATGAAATTAGAATGTGATATATGCTAATGAAATCTGGATGTCGGATAAAAGGATTGCAATTGCAAGCCATTAATCAATGACTGCACCAAGAAAAGACAATTGGAGCCTATCAACACAGGGAATGAAGACTAAAACCTTCTGGTAAAATACTGAGGCGTTTGAAAATCATCTTGTTAGCTATATCTTACATACAGTTGTTAGCAAATAGCAAAATTGAAATTCCCAATAGAAGATAAATGCCAGGCCATAGATAAGGAGCTCCCTAAAAACCTTTTGAATGGAATTGTTAGGGGAGAACAAAAATTAAGCTTTATGCTAAGCATTGATCATTTGCGTAGATATTAAAAGAGAATAGATGGACAAAAAAGTATATGACTTTATGGCATAGTAAGCATCCAATGCTAACAACCACAATCAACCAAGTCATGAGCCATAGAATCACAGCACAACACGTGAAATTGTATTCTTGAATTAGTTTAGAACAAGTAGCAGTAGCCCCATCTTAAGGCTTGATAAAGTGTGACAAGTGAAAACTACAGAGACACAAACTTGAAGCAACTAGGAAAGTTGAACCTGTTCAGAGAAACTGGGTGTGACCCTGGAAATTGTGTATGTCCTCTAGCCTGTATGTTAAGAAATTAGCAAAATAGCTATAACAACCACAAGAGGTACCCAAAGCAGGAAAATTTAAAAACAACACACACAAAAACAAACAAAAAATATAAAGAATAAAAAATATAAAATGCTGGCGTCAACCTTCAAAAAAATCCATCTTAACTGTCACTTAGACTTGCAAAATGTAACTAAATAGAACATATACAATTCGGTGAGAACAAAATGCATCTGAGCAATTTCATGAACGTAAAAAAATTCATAAAGGCACATCTCAAAAATATTCATCCCAGCATAGAGAATAAAGTTTACAGAACAAAGTAGGCATCTTAAAAATTATAATGAGCTTTTCTTACACAAATTAAACCAGTCATTCATATGATAAATGTCCTACTGACTCTTCAATCAGCTAATACACAAGTCCTTCGTAAAATATCTCAGAATAAATAACTATAATTAACATGAATATATAGATCAAATATAAGTATATACTAAAGATCTGCTAAAGTAACCACAAATGATTGGGCCCTGAATAACATTTTCTAACATAAGGAAAACCAAAGCCCCAAAAAAGGAAGACGCCCATTGAATAGAATAAACAAATTTGAAATGCATGATAACCCACTAGCACACAGGAAAAGAGGGAGGGAAGAGGGAAAACCTGCCATATGACAAAGAGAAACCATTTAAAAGGCTTACCCCAGCACCCAATTTAAGGGACTGATAACAGAACTGCCTGAATGAATCTTGCTGATCATTAGGTATCTCATCTCCCAAGACATCATCATTTGTCATCAACACATCTGTCTCATGGTTCCCCTGAGTGTGGCGGAAAGATTTCAATTTTTTTTTTTTTAATATCAGAAATGCTCCAGGGTACAGACCCAAATGTAAAACAAAGACTTCACAGTCAAACTCTCATTGACAGTTATAAGAAGAGCACAAATAATTTGCTTTTTGGCCAAAGGCTTCCCCACATTTTCAGTTCAACTCTAAACAATGATACCCAGAAATAACAAAGGGCATGCTTGGTAGAAGAGAAAGTTCAAAAATAGCAAATTACACTTATATGATGTCCATATAATTGTCGTTATCCCCTGGCCCGTTTTCAACCATCCCATTTATAATCCAACAAAGCACAGGAAAGGAACAACTTCATATGACATACCATGATTACCATCCAGACCTACTGATATTCCCAAGTCTTAATTACAACAAATCATTAATATAGTAGGAATTTAGAAATTGTCAAAAGTCATAGTGTATGTCATCCATACATCCAAAGGAGGGCCTGGTATTCCATCATCATCATCATCATCATCTGGCACCGCTTCACCATTAAGATCAAATTCAGAAGATCTCTTCCACTCTGGAGTAGGAGGACAAACCACCATGTCAGGCCTTTTTTCATGATAGAATGTGTACAAAGCATCAATGTAATCAGGTTTGTAGATTCCTGGAGGGCGTGCATCAGAAAATATTTTTATTGCCTGCAGAATGGGTGAGTCAGCAAAACAATTACCTAATATCTTCAAGCAATGTCTTACACAGAGAACATGATGACAAGATAACTCCGCAACAGACCTGTGTGACAGACATTGACATGGCACGCATGAGATAATGGGTGATCATGTATCCTGTACGATTATGCCCATGTGTACAATGGACAAGTATATATTTCTTTGTGTGTTTTTGACGTGATAGAAATTGTGTAACCTGAAATGTAAATAGTCACTTGGTTAAGGACTTCTGAACAGACCTCTGTTGCTCTAAGAAGTGCCAAGAAAGCCAGCATTTCTTTCTTTTGAAGAACTATCTGACTAAGCACTAATGAGCCATGACTTTATAATTTTCTTTCAAAACTTCACTCATAAGCTGACAAAGTGGTAAGGAGCACATGATTACAAGTTATAAATATAACAACGGCAATGGAAAACATTAAAAAAAGAAAAAAAGAAATCCAGATCGCATACTGAAGAATTTCATTCTGATATTTCTATTTTATTTCGAAATAGAAGCTGCAATGTATATATAGAGAGAGAGAGAGAGTAAGCTACAAAATATCAGTCAATCAATTGGCATTATAAAAAGGAAATGAATATACAAAAAGAAGCACTGATATGGGTACACGTATCAAATATGATAAAATATGATACGGTGAACACTGCAATTATCAAAATTTTAGGATACAAGTATGAGAATATTTACAATATATATTTCAACATTTTATGATATAGGTATAGGTATTCTGATTTTTAAACAAGAATTTCCAAAGTAATACAAAGATATTTGTACCAATCAACCAAAATATTAAGTTTTTTTTTCAGGTTTTTATGTAATATAGAAAAAAAATTATTGAAAAAAATCATAATACAAATGTTAGAATGAGATAAGTATGTTGAAGTATCCTATGAGTATTGTATCAAATGCACATCAGATACGAAAACGTTTACTTTTCTAAAGTATCCATGCTTAACATAAAGCCTAACAAAACAGGAATATATATATATATATATATATATAAGAATGAAAGAAAGAAAAGAAAAAGGAAACAGAACATTTGACTTCAACCAACAGTATACAGCCATGATTATTCTTTCCAAGAATCATCGCATTCCAACATTCTCCCTCAAACTGGCACAGATTCGAGCTAGCATTACCAATCTTCTTAGTTCATCACATTTTTTATGCTGATTCAGTGATTCTTGATCCTTTATTGTCTTCGCCTTACTTTGTAGTGGAAATCTTGATTTTGGGCATCTCTCCTCAACTTTTTGTGAGGAAGAGATCTTGGTTTTTGCTAACCATTACCATATGGTTTTCTCACATTAACCACCAAAAAATGGTTTTTCTAATTTTTTTCACTAGCCATCAACATATGATTTCTTATCTGTAGTTGTTTCCCAGTCTTTAGCAGCAGTAACCATTATTTGTTCTATTTAAAATTTGATTTTGATCAAATGCTGTAATGCCTTGAATTTTAATCAACTGTACCAGCGGACTTCCAGTGGAGGATGAGCTGACTAGTTCTGGGCAAACAACAGAGGACATGGCCTCACGCACTCTCAAGTCCTAACACATGGAATGGGTTGTTGGGTGTGGTCATGTGAATGACAGAACATGGAGGGATGACTGACCGCCACATTATAGGATTTGGCAAATGGGGATCTTTCAAGGACGGTGATGGGGTGTGATGGTGTCTCTCATGATCGCAAAATGGTGATTCCAAATTTTGGCCATGCTTCTGTAGAAAAGATGAAGGAATAGCTTCAACAAAATGTATTTCTGCACCTCTTGTTGGCTATGCTTATCATTTGAAACAGGTCAAGCCTCTTGGGCCTCTAATACCATGAAAACCATGATTATGAAATTTCTCATTTTATCTCAAAAAAAGCTGCAACATATAAGGGAACCATAGAACATTAGCAAATCAATCCTCAACATAAGAGAAAATAAACATCCAACATAATTAGTTTCCTTAAACATCCATTATTGACTAGAAATCAAACTTCAGTTTCCAGTTAGCTTCTTGTTTGAATCAGCTTAGGAAAAACTACATGCACAAAACGTTTGTATTAGCAAATACAAACTGAAACACCAAATAGGAAATTTTTTAGAGTATAAGATATCCCCACTTCAAGAGCATGTAGGGAAGGTAATAGCATTGTTTAATTAATGCAAAGAAACAAATGCCTATACATCACAGAGAGAGAAAACAAACAACACGTTCTTCAGAATAACTAAGCAAGATTAGAAATAATATTGGTTGAGACAGAAACAAACCTCATGGACGAATTGATTCACAGATAAATTATCAGGTACAGAATCACGTCCCTTGCATTGTATCTAAACCACAAACATGATCTCGTCATATAAGGAAAAAAATTGGAACCATAAACAACAAATTTAGAAAATCTTGAGTTGGTAAGAAGAATTTGCCAGCTACAAACCTTTACATGCTTGATACCCTCTTTCTTTAGATCTGACACTGGATAGTATCGAGAAGTATTTGTCAAATCAATCACCAAACCAAGCTGTAAACCAAAAGAATAAAATAGGAAAAGGATGATAAAATAAGAATATCATTTACTAACAGATAGAGTCTTGCACAGATTGTGTAAACAACTCCATCAAGGGGTGGTTGTCTTCTCTATTCCACAGATTGTACAAACCTCTACATGTGCAAATGCATGTTATGCGAGTGAAATTACTTAAACTAGATGAGATCAAACATTTTTGGATAAATCATACTTACTTTTCTCCCTAAAACTCTTTGTTGATGTATCACTTGTTTGAATGAGTATCTTTTACCAGGAGCAATGCAATCATTGAACGATTCACCAAGTGGAACCTTAGAAGGTATCATGCAAAAAATTTCTTGACCAAATGAAGGGCAATCCAACCACCCTGCATGTAAAGAAAAGAATGATAACACAACATTTGACATGAAATGATGAAAGTTTAAAATTTATAACCTGTCACATAAACCATATACTAACAATACCCAATACTACTGAGCTATCCATCTGCACAATATAAAGTTGGAAATCCTACCATATGGTGCACTTACTTTTCCTCTTTCAATGAGATACTAATACTTTATCTTACTTCAAATTCATGAAACAAATTGTGTTTGCAGTGAGATACTAATACTTTACAGAAAGCACTAAAATTGCCAAAACCAAATTATGCGAGTTTTGAATTGGTTGAAGCCATAGCATCAAATTAGTGTTTTTGGTCCCTCATAGACCAAAAGAAAAAGAACTGCATTAAATCAGTAGTTACAAAAGCTAGGTGTTTGACTAGGGCAAAAAATCTTACCTGGAGGAAGCCTATTTCTATCATATGATTTAAGGGACTTCGTTTGAAATAGCTGGTCATAACCAGGTGATGGTGATGCATAAACAGATCTATCATCTGGACGTTCTCTTTTCAATCGTCTTTTTCTTTCTTCACGCTCCTACCAAAATTAAAAAATTCATCAATTACACACCAATTTGATGTGTAAAGGGTAAATCAAGAAAAATCTACAGGCAAGCAAAGAAAAAACATTTCACATACTAATATAGACCAGGAATAAGCGGATTGTATGGCCTTCAATACAATTGGATAGCCAAAAGAAATCTCAACAGGGAACATAGTTTGGTTAACAGCTAATATAGCTAAGATCCAATCATTCAAATAATGGCAACAAATTAAGCTTCTACTGCTTATTAAAGGAGCTTTTGGATTTCCAATAAACTGTAGGTGTCAATGGGGAAAGAGTGTGATATGGTAGAAAAAAGAGAAAGAGAGAAACAGAGGAGTGAAAGAGAAGGAAAGAGGGAGAAAGAAGAGAAAACTTGGAGGGGGGGGAGGGATAAGAGACGGGAGAGAAAGGGAAACAGAGAATAGGGAGAACTGAACTATGTTTCTGTATTTTCAATTTAGCATAATATATGACTACACTTAAGATCCTTTATACAGGCTCCTTCACCCCTTTATTATAAGGGAACCTAACTAACTAACTCCCAACTAATTAAACTATTTATTCTTTATTTATTTATTCTTTACATATCAAAGTGGCAAGAAGATGAAGGGTGAAAGCACTTTGGGCATGCAGAATCAAGATAAACTTCCACAAACTCAGAGCGCATCTAACTGCATTAAATGCAATTCAACAGCTGTAACGAAGCAACTAAAGAAGTGTCAGCTTATAATTATTTTGAACATCTTAAATATCATTTAAAACTCAACAAGAAACATTTGGCTTCACAAAATTTCTAACATTTTTCCTTTGATATAAAAACAAAGTTGAATGAACTATTTTAAAGCAACATAAAAGACAGCTGTTGAATTGACTGCATCATGCTTCACTTGGAATAAGCTCATGCTCTGAACTTCAGCTCATGCTGCACTTTAAATAAGCTAGTAGCAATGGACTACTATAAATACAATCATGTTTAAAAAAAAGAAAGAAAGAACTGTTTATTAGGGAGCAATTATCTCCATCGTAGTATATGAAAGATTGAAAGTTCTCGGGTAGCTTCTTATCACAGAAAGAAACAAAGTTAATTCCTTCCAATTTTCCAACAGTTTTTAAGACAAATTACATGACAAGTATTTCAATATTTTTCCAGGTGAAGGGACGATAGCTGCCAGGTTCAAAATATGATGAACTGCCTTAAAGGAATTTTTTTTTTTTTTTTTTGGGGGAGGGGGAGGGAGGGCGAATACCAACTCTAACAAGAAAGATCTTAAAGTTCTTATATTTAATATTAAAGCACTGAAATAATCTATCACAACGCCCTTCTAAAACTAAACCAATAAAAACCCTTTACAAAAGTAGTTATAATCCACTGCCACCACAAAAATCACCTTCTTGAACTTAGATAAACATGACAAGTCAAAAGTGAAAGAATACCCGTCGTGCTATATCAACTGCACTTTCTATGCGTTCTTCTTGTGCAACGAAGTCTTCTACATGCCCCTCAAATGCGTCCTCATCTTCCTCTGGAACGGGCGAGGCATTCAAGTCCATAGCAGCTGTCATTAAGCATTAAGCAACATTCACAGAATCTTTATAGCCCTCAATTAGCTTAGTTTGTCCCTAAATACAGCCCTCCAGCCTGCACGATTTAAATAGCAATCCAATGAAGCCCACGCGTATAGCAAAAGAAAAAGATAACCCTAAATTCTACAAGTTTATCGTAAAACATCGTTGAGGCAAAGTAGGCAAAATTCCCATCTTCGACTACGATAAGCTAAAGGAAATGAATAAAATCAAGTAGGAAAATCAATTACACGTGAGAAAAAAACAAAGAAGAACAAAGTGCTTTTCCCAACCCAATCAAATAAGCACCAAATTCAAGAAAGTTTCTCATCGCATCCCAACGGTAGGAGTAAACACTAGCACAATCAATGCAAAATAGTAAGCACTCTAGATGGGAAAGATATCTAAGAATCCAGTGAAAGCTTGAAATTAGAAAATTGAACAGTGGACAAACAACCAGGGGAAGGGAAAAAGCTCTACAGAGGAGCTAACCTCAGAAGGCAAACGAACGAAATATATCGCCAATTCTGGTGTGGAGCTACGATCCTCCTTGCAACAGAGACTCAGTAAATCCTTCGCATAAGACGAGAAATTGGAAATTTCTCGATCACAATTAGTGACAAGAACGCGCCCTAATAGGCTACTTCGAAAGAGAAGAAAAAGCTAAAAAGAACCCTACAATTGAGGAATGAAGAGCTTGTCCTTGCTCACGTCAGTGTGGAAACCCTAGAGAGAAACGGTTGTTACTTGGATTAGTGAAAGATGAGAAAAGGTTGTATGTGCGTATGTTTTGCCATATTTAAAGAGAATCCATCGAAGTCCGAAGACATGGTACGAGGAAGAGTAAGGGAGAGCGCGAAGCAGGACGTAGAAATTGCGATTCTGAGTCCTAGTCAGTGAATCGCGAACTCTAAATCCCATCCAATAATTAATTAATTAATTAATTTTTTAAAAAAGAAAAATTATTCCTTTTTATCAAAAAATTAATTTTAACCGAGCAGAGTCACCACTCAGGCTCAAAATGCTATTTAAAAAATACTTACAGATTTTCTGGCTAAGATAATAATAATTATTACTATTTTTATAGTAAAAAATAATCATCATCATCAATATTAATATTAATATTATTTATTTTTATTATTATAATATGAAAGTTATAGAAAAAACCAATAGTAATCATAATTACAATTTACAAATAGCATGACTTATTTTTAAAATTCTGTATAATATATAAGGCTCACATCTTATTTTAGATGGTGCACATGTCTTCCTATTAAAAATAATTTGAGGCATAGTAAGATTTACTCCCTTTATTTAAAAATATAAAGTATTTTTAACTTAATCTTACTCCAATAAAATAATTAGCTGCTTTCAAATCAATCATATCTTTTTATATTTACCTCTATTAAACACTTTACAATAAATACAAAGTCATTTATCAATAAAGACATTTTTTAAAAATAATAATAATTACATCTCGAAAAACTAAAAATATTTTAATTTTTTAACATCTAACACTTTAAAACATGCCTTACATTTTTAAATAAAGAGAATATATATTATTTAATTTAATTAAAACTCTGTTTTACACAAAGATTGATGTTGGTAAACTAGCACTTTCCATTGGAATGTGTTAGGGCTTTTATATATACTAAACATAAACATTCTCTATATATGTTTTAAATTTTATAACTAAATGAAGCAACTTCCGGGGCCTCGAAAGAGAAAAATGAAGCACCATCTTAGCTAATTACATTCCGACAGATCAATTAAATAATAATAAAACTCTTTTGTCATTAAAATATGCTATGTTTTCAGCATTTGTGAAATTGAATTAGTTGCATTAACACATTTGTAATTAAAATTATAATATTTATAGCATAATCTGACATAATTTATTATGATTAATTAATTTTTGCAGATTTTTTTAAAAAATGAACCACGACTTAACTTTCAGAGCTTGATGTGGGTTGCTCAATGATATTATGCTTCTATTTTGGATCGTAATCCAAATTTGCAAGATAGGTTTAAAACAACTGAGTAGATATAACTTTTAAATTAAAAAGGAAAAAATTTACTAACTAGCAAGTTATTTCATAACAAAGGGATTGGCATCTTTTATGCTTTATTTGACGTGTTAGAATAAGAAACCTGATGACATAAAATTTGATAGATTGAATGGAATTTTATGTAGCGCAAATTATCTTGTTTTTCTCTGGGGCCCTGTTTGGTTAAATAAAATTGAATTTATGAACATGTTTGGTAAGATGAAAAAAATGAATGGAATTTTATAATTATATTTTTTGTTTATATTTTCAAAATTGAAAAGACAATAAACCTATTCAGCAACCTATTTTAAAAATAATTTTTTATTCTTTAAAATAAAAAAAATTTATTTGATTACGTATTTTTAAAAAATAAAATATTATTTTAGAAAATATTAAAATAATAATATCTTTTAAATGTTTTTAAATTATTATTTTAAAAAATAAAAAAATATCTATTTTTATTTAAAAATATATTTAACAAAATATTAATTTTTAGTATAATAAAACAAAAACAATTTTAAACGTTTCAATATCATTCCGGTCTCTCCCTCATCCTCTCTTCCAGACTTGTCATCTTTCCCTATCACCTTCAGAACAATCAAACAATGATTAACAAATCCTCCTATTCCAGAAAAAATCAAAAAATAAAGAGCAAATTTATGAAGAAAAGGGAGGATAGAAGGAGATCTGTGATGGGAGAGAGAGATGAATATGCGAGGGAGAAGCTTCGTTAGAGGATGGCGAGTTTGACAGAGGGAGAAGCTTTGATAGAAATAGAAGGATGGAGAACGACTTTGGACAAAAACTAGGACGATGGAGGATGGTGTTCATCGGAAACCACCTTCGATGGAAATTTTTAAGATGTTTGAACTCCCTTTGCTGCCATTCGGAGATGAGAATGTCGAGACGAAACCAGGAAGATTGGTGGAAGGTGAACCCGCGATAGCTGGATGAACCGACGAACCCAGAACAGATCTTCGACCCTAGATCTTCACGTTTGGCAATTAACATTGCAGGGGGAGAGAGTCGAAGGTAATGTGAAGTATGGAACAAAATATGAAACCAAATCTAAAATCAAATTTGAGGTAGAGGGGAAGTATGACGAAGACGACGAGGGAGGTGTGCGGAAAACGGAAGGCCAAGAGTGGGATGGAGGAGAGGAGCAGAAGCTAGTTTGATTAGTGGAGGATGGTAGAAGGTTGATCGATGCAATGCGCGGGTAATTTTGGGTTTACAAATTTTTTATAAGGACAAAATGAGTAAAAAAAATTATTATTCTAAGAAAAAATATAATTTTTTAGAGGATTTATCCAAATTTCTGGCTTGTATCCGGAGCAGGCAAAACAAGTCAAGTCTAATAGGTCAATCCGTTTAAACTCGCTTAATAGAAGGGTTTTAATAGAAAGGTTTTACATATAAGACTCTAAAATTGTAAAATTAGATTTAAATGATTAGCCCTAATAGGCTTTATTTTAAACGAGCTGAGCCTACAGGAATCAAACTTAAATGATTAGTTCTAATAGGCTTCATTTTAAAAGAGCTGGCCCTAGGCCTTGGAGGGCCAACCCGTTTAAGTCGCATGTACACACACACATATTATATCTTTTGATACTAATTTGTTTTTCAATTCTTTTTTTAAGAGCTTTAAGTATCTTAAAGTTTTTTTTCTGAAGCGTTAGATACCTTGAAATCTTGTTAAAATAAAATTTAATAAATATTGTTAAAATATTAAGTATTTTAATATTTAAAACTTTAAAAATTACTATTTAAAACATTACACCACCCAATTTAACATTTTAATATTTTTGATATTTTATAATTTTGAATTAAAAATGAAGTGAATGAACCTCTAAGTTAATGAAGGAATTTTTTATCTCATTTCTTCATTTTTCTCTCGTCAAGTAACTTTTTTATAATATATTAATGGAATAAGCAATATCTTTCAAATTAAATATTTTTATTATTACATTGTTAGTCCTGATTTAGTGATTTATCATGTTTATAATTTTACTATTAACACTGTAGAGAATATTAAATTTGGGTAATGTAATATTTTAGAGGAAGATCATTAGTTGACCAAAAAATTAAGAAATTTAACTAATATTAAAAATATAAGTAAGTTTTGACATGCACAAAATGCTTAACGATTTGGGTACTATATTAAAGAGAAAATCGAAGATCCATATATAAAAAATAAGAAATCATCTATAAATTTATAAAATGCTAGCAAAAATAATATTTAAATATAAAAAATATTAAACTAGGTGGTGTAATATTTTAAATAATAATATTTAAATTATTAAATATTAAAAATAATTAATATTTTAACAATATTTATTCAATTTTATTTTAACAAGATTTCAGGGTGCCCAGCACTACGAGAAAAAGGCTTTAAGGTGCTTAGCGCTCCTAAAAAAAGAGTTTAGGAATAAATTAGCACGAAAAGACATGACATCTTACATGTCACTGTTCATGAGGCCCACGCACATGACATATCAGCAAAAAACAGAAAAATTAATGGTTGATTATGGAAGGGGGGTTTTGCTCCTAAAAAAAACTAGTTCAAGGGTAAAATTGTCCCACTTAAAAATATAGGATACCCAACGCTCTTAAAAAATAAGTACAGGGATAAAATTGAACTTTAACCCTTTATATAATAAAAATAACCTTAAATTTCATCCATATATCCTAATCAGCTAATCCTAGTCTAATTCAAACCAAAGCAAAGATGAGAGTCTAGAGCCTAAAACCAAGGTAACGACAATTCTAGTCTTCCAAATCTTGATCTCATGCTCTCAATTGGCAACTGCATTTGGCCCCACAGTCAACACTCATGGCATGTTCCCACAACATTCTTCTTCTTCTTCGCTCATTTTCTATCTAAGTATCTAATCTAAAAGGAGCTTGATGTAATATCCGGAAAAATTTAACCCTAATTTATTAACCTAATAAGGGTAATTAGTGAGTTAATAAGGTGTGTGGCCAGAGAAGCTTAACTTAGCATAATTGATGTGATTTCAACTTTAGAAGTGGGTCCAGATCGATAGCAGGCCACTCGGGTAAGGAAAGAGGATGAAAAAGTAAAATATTATTTTCTGTGCCATACGCCGCGGCGCGTGGTTGGTCTACCGCGGTGCACAAAGACAATTTTAAACGTAATGGGCTCCTCTATGCCATGTGCCATGGCAGAGGGCAGCATGCGCCACAGCGCACAGCCAAAAATCGAATATATCTGATTCGTGAGCTATGTGAAAACAGAAGAGAAAAAGAAGAGGAAAACGAAGAGCTCGATTTTGGCTCTGCTATGGCACATATTTGGTTCCATTGTTGATAGATTGAAACTCCCAAACACCCAAGATAAGATTATGGTGTCTCCTTCTTCCTTTCTCTCCCTCATTTGTAATGATTTATGGTAGGGTTTGAGTTAAGAGATAAATTTTCGATCCATAGGAGTATGGGTCCAATTCCATTGATTACAATGAGATTAATGGGAGTGGTTTAATGTATTGGAACACCACATTGATAATTTTGCAAGTGGTTGGTCCATGGGAGCATTTAATACTCAAAAATTAGCATTTATGAGGTAGTTGTAAGAGGTTAATGTGCATTAATGATGGTTTGAAGTATTAATAATGATAATATGAATTAATGGAACTTAATGAGCACGTCGAGTATGAGTAGGTAGTGATTATGAGATGATATAGTAGCGTATATGGAGTTTTATTTTATAAAGTTTTAAGAGTTAGGTAATGATGATGTTCTTATGGTTTGGATGAATAGAGGTTTGTTTTGGCACCATTCGAGCTTGTTGAAACTTTGAAAAGTTGTTATAGTGAGGGGTAAACCTTTGACCTCTCAAAGTTTGAGGTAATCGGGGAAAACTTAATTTTTATAGTTAAATGTTAATTGTGTTTGTGAAATGTGATTTGTGTAATAAATTGATGATACATATTGGCAAGTGTTGATTTGTGAAATGGTTTTGGAAAGAAAACCTTAATTTCTACCACCCTTGATGTTTTATGAAATAACTTGTGATTTATTATTATAAGTGGAGAATTGTGATGAAATATGAGTTAATTATGAGCATATGTGTTATGTGAGTTCATGTGTTGAAAAATGATTATTGAAATGTATATTATGTGTGAAATGTGTATAGCATGATCATTAGCGGGAGTTCACCTAAAAAAAGGAGTAGATTGGTTGAAATCCATGTGGTATTAGCCGTGACTGTTGGAATCAAGAACTAGCCTTGGTACCGATCGTTGGAATTGAGAGGTAGCCCTTGTCTCATAGTTGATTCGGGACTATCCCACTTATTCTATGAGGGACTCGAACCTAACTAGTCTCCACCGGTTCATGAGGAGGCTAGATTAGGGGCACGACACCCCATGATTGTTAGTATTAGGGGAAATCGAATTACATAAGTGAGTGAGTTAACCCTGGCCCAATAGCTCCTCACAAGTAGAAGGCTGGGTTAATTCGTGAAGGACGTAGCCATATGATAGCCATCGATTTTGTGTCAGAGGTAATAGGAGGATATAAGGTTGGCATATGATCATGCACATAAGTCGGCCGCATGGTTGTTAGTTTTATGGTCCGGCACATGTTAAGGGCACATGATTGTTATTTTTGTGACCCTGTGTTATATTTTTTGTAAAATAATATGATATAGTTTTTTGTGACAAGCTCAGTCACATGGTTGTTAGTTTTGTGAATCGTGGCCTGGTACTATATGAAATATGTGTTTATTTGTCTAATTGCATCTATTTACAATTAATATGTAACTGTAAGGGTTAAGTGAAACTTGGTTACTGAGTGGTTGTACTCATCCCTCAATTCTCAATATTTTCAGGACCTAGCTCATCGGATCTGAGTCAGGGAAAACATATAGAGGCTTAGGTTTGGTAGAGTAAATCCTCCATATGCCTCTCCTTTACTATTTACATGTGTATTTGTTAATGTATTTGCCAATTATGATTAATTATCATGATTGATGTACTACTTGCATGATTTTATGTTTAACTAGTGTATTTTGTGTCCTGAGTTAGTGAGTATTTGTTGTGAACTCGTGAATAGGGCCAAAATACTTGTGCAAGTTAGAACATATGTATTTTTGAGAAATATAAATGAAATGGTTGATTTTGTGTAACTTTTCCTCCCCCTCTATGTTTTGTGAAAATTGAGGTTGAGTGGTGATTTTGTGAAATAAGTGTGTTTTATTGTGTGTGATGTGTTGTACAAGTTTGTAAGAGTCTATTGAGTGTGGTCAAAGGGTTGGTGTAGACTATTAGCACATGTGGTTGAATTGGGACACCCCATTTGGGAGATTTTGTGAAAATGTGTCAAAATGAGTTTTGGCATTCAACTTTTTATAGAAAATAAATTTGAATGTGAAACCTGTGCCATTAGTTAGAGCGAGGAGAAAGCTCTGTGTAGCTACCAAAACCATCTCAATCGGATGTCGAACGGAGATTTAGGACACGTCAGAATTTCGCTTCCTGTGCTATTAAATGACAGCACTAATCTGTCAAATTTCGTGCAATATGTCGCGGTGCATGGTGCCTCACGCCACGGCGCATGGCACAAAGAGGACACGCCACGGTTCACATATCAATTTCTATGTGAAAATCTGTTTTGAGTTTTAAAACTCATTATTTGGGTCCTATTGACTTCCAAGCTTTTGCTTTATTTTTAAAATTCTGATTTAGAGTCCTTAAAACATGTTTGAGATTTGAAAGGTTGAAAATTGGGATTCCTTGAAATAAATTTTAAAAATTCATTTATTAAGCCTTACAGTTTGGTAATCTTTGAGGGTAGAATCTTAGATTATCAAATTTTAGAGTTAATTGTGATTTAACCTCAGGGAGGTTACACTTGAACCATGACAACATTTATTTGGTCTGAGTTTAGTCACATCTCAATCTCAATCTCAATATCCCTATCCCTCTTGATCATGTCTTACAAGTTGCATACAAGCATATTGTTGATTCTCATTTAAGGAAGAAACGTTTGGTTGATTTTTTTTTTTGAGACAAGGAATAGATCTGATAATGATATTTGTTTTATGATTGTTAACATTTTTTTAATTTTATGTATTTATTAAAAGAAAAAAATGAAAATAAATAGAAAAGCATAAAACTCATAAGGTTAGCTTTGAGCCCACTATCCTAAGGGCTGGGCTTTGCAATTGGAGATCTTAAAAGAAAAATAATCTTTTCAAGCCCGACTCTTTTATGCACGAGCTTGTCAAGGGTCGCCCCTTTAGAGCCAAGCTGATTCATTTTTCAAGCTCTACTTGTATTTAGAAAATGTCCTCCCAAGGATCAAAAGTCCATCCAATGAATCCAAGAAAAATATTTTTTTCTCTTTCTTTTCCTTTTTCCAACTTCATTTTCCAGTGAACCAAACATTAAGATTTGGCAGGAGATTTTTTTAGGTAAAAAAAAAAAAGAGAGATATTCAAATCAATTACAATGTTAGACTATGTCAGTATATTTGGGACAAGTCAAAATTACTTGAGCCAATAGAATGGAATATGAATAATAAATACCAGTTCAAAAGTTTAAAATCTCTTGATATAACGATTAAAAAATGGGAGAATAACTGTTAAATCTCAAAAGAAGGAATTAATGACAATTAGATCTTTAATAATTTTTTAAAATCAATTATAAACATCAATTCAAACAATTATAAATTTAAACATTTTAATTACAAACATGATATTTAAATTCTAAATATGATAATTAATTTGTAATTTAAATTCCTATTTATAATTGCTTGAATATATAGTTATCATTTATTTTATATAAAATTTTGTTGGAGACTTAATTGTCATTAATTCATCCTTTTGTGTGTCATTCTTCCTTAAAAAAATGGTGCCAATGACCCATCCTATCAAATTCTCATGCCTCCTTTGATATAGAAAATTATTTTTTGTGAAACTAGAAGTAGAAATAGAAGCAAAATGAAAGTATGAGTAAAGTTTAAGAGTATGTTTGGTAAACCGATAGAAGTGGAATAAATATTTTATTTAATGTTGTATTTATATTTTAAAAAGACCAAGATACCCCTAAATAAAAAAAGCCAGATTTAAACCACCAACGCTCAAAGCATAGCCCAAGCAAACTGCCATGGAAAACCACTACTTGAAAACCAAAGAAATAAAAAAAACCATCATCGAAGAAGAAAAAAACGAGGAAGATGACTACATACTCAATCAACAAAGCATTCAAACATTAAATAATAAGATCAAATTTCATAAATCAAAACTAAAAATTATGAAATACATTCAAACACATATCTGGAATGCAAAAGAAGATAAAGATCTATAACCCAGATCTGTGACAATATACTTGGATGAAGTTTGCAATGGAATGGTCGCACAATTAATATTTGGAGGGAGAGGATGATGAATTTACACAAAGTTTCCAATGGAGTGGTTGCAATCGCACAATGAAGATCCAGAGGAATAGGATGATGAAGCGTGAACAAAGTTTGCAGAAGAGGACGGCATAGTTTATTACACAAGCACAGTGAAGACTGGCCGCAGATTTTCTCACCAGCTGAGGAAGAGGACGGAGAAGTTCGAACATCAAAAGATCATTGTCGCCATCGAAGATTTGTTGTGTGCCATAGAACATGGTCCTCCATCTTGGATGTTTTAGGGAAAGAGGATGTCAGGGCAAAATGGTCAAGAAGTGAAAGCCAATTCTTTGGGTTTAGCCGCTTAGGTATGGCTCCAAGAAATCTCTACATGCATGCCAAACAAATAAAATTTTAGATTTCACTTTCCTATCTTCAATTCCTTGCTACGAAACACGACATTACAGGTTTACAACTTCCATGCTTCGATTTCATAGTAAATAAAAATAAATTATTTTTTAATCAGAGCAAGAATATCAGAAAAATACCTCGTCAATTGAAAAGATTCACTCGTAACAAAAGATCTACCACTGATCCCAATGGGATAGTGCTTATATGACCATTGCCTTTTTTTTTTTTTTTTTGAAGAGACAATCACACCCGCACAACCCATTACAATCCTCCCATAAGCTAAGGGAGGAAAAAGGAAGATTGCACTCGCAGCGAGCGAGTCACCGATAAGCAAACGACGGTTAGCCAGTCCACATGGGAGCCATGGGCAGGCAGGTATCGAGTAGAATAATAGTACTTGCAAAATAAGCCATTATATAATACCATAAGTCATGTCATTAAGTTCCTTGAAACTCAATCAATCTATACAGTGTCCATATCTATGTCTAAGAGGGAAAAGAATTCACGATAACATAAATTGCGACCGCATAGAACAAAACCAAAAAGAGGAAAGGAAAAGAAACTGATGAATTAAATCATTATAGAGTAAACCAGAGCAGTCTGAGCCGAAGGTACAAAATGATTCTCACTTTATTCCACATCTGGTCTTCTATGGAACTTGGGAGATGGACAGAGGTATCAGTCACAATTCAAATGGCATCTCCCTGGTATCCCTTTGAATCCCAAAAGTCGTATTGTACAAAGATGGCTATGATGCTGGATGGCAAACCCAATATGAGAAGCTCTAAAAATGAAGCCATCGTGCAGTTTCTACTGTTTCATTCATACAACTCAAGTCAGCTCCATCTTCACCAGTATTATGTCAGAAGAAGGCGGATAGAAAGACATGTATATATAACGCATAATGTTATTACGAGCCAAATACCAGTGAATGATATAGTAAAAAAATAGAAAATATCATATTTTCCATTCAATCCTTCTGAATCCCAAATCACATAAAACCATCTTGAATCTGCATTTTAGGACGTTATAATGATTTGAACTCTATGGGGTGGCCAAATAAACTGATCACGCAATTTATTTTGTAAAGAAACGAACTAGACGTTCAACAGAGCTTTCGTTCTGATTTCATCCCTCCCAGAGGTAAAGTGAGACATTATACAAATTTTTTGGGAGCAAAGACAGTAGGATTGAAATGAAACAAAACAAACTTTCAAGTAGTAAAATGATCCAAAATTTTTGCAGATCCAATTGATATTGAGGTCACATTTGGAAGACCAAAATGGTGTTTTACTATTGACAAATAAAATCTACAGTAACAAAATTGGCAGCAGACGAACTCACATCAAGAAAAGGTGCGATTTGCCCCAACCTCCCTTCTTAACTGATCATTTGTCAGAACGCCTTCACCTGGATCTTCACTTGTTAAACTTTTATCTGATTCTCCAGAAAATTCACCCTCCCTGGAAATCTTAGACGTCAGATTCTCATACTTGTCCTTTAAGCCTGAAGAATCAATGGCCTCTGCAAGGCTCTTCTTAATTTGTTGCTCCAATGCAGCAATTTTATTTTTTGATGCCAAATCAGGCGAGTGTCCTGCCTTGGCAACCTCTATTTTCAATAACTCTATCTTGCTCTTGAGGTCTGATGAGTTTAGGGCAATTTCAATTCCCTTGTTGATATCATTGTTCAATTCTTCTATATCTGATTCAAACTCTGCCACTGAGGACTCTTCAATGCTGCTTCGTGTCTTTGCTTTTACAACATCAACTTCTAATCCCTTTGACTTCAGGGCATTAATTAGCTTCAGCACTACCTCTTTCTTAAACTCTATGACTTTCTTCTTCAATTCAACATCAAAATCACTTGGTGAGGATACACCAGAACCTTCAATTTCTGCCTTCACTAACTCATATTTTTCCTTTATACTAGGGCTATTAATCACTTCTTCGAATTTTGCCTTGAATTCTTCCTTTAACATGGCAGCCTTCTTATTCCTATCTGACCAAACCTTTGCTTTAGAAAATTCTTTTAAAGTGTCAAGCATTTCCTTCAGCTTTCCATAATTGGGAGCTTCTGACAGACCCCGGTTGAACTCCTCCTGTAGCTTTTCAATCTTATCCTTCACCACTGGATGAATAAGTCGGTCCTCCGAATTTGCTTTTGAAACTTCCTCCCGTAGCTTTGCCAACTTGTCTGTCAAGCCCATGGCTTTCACTGCCTCAGAGTACTCTCGATCAACCTCCTTTTTCAGCTTCTGGATTATCTCATCCAGATCTAATTCTGGAAGCTTGGCGGAGGATTCCTGGGCTTTCAAAATTTGCTGCTTCAGTTTCTCAACATCACCCTCTAATTCAGCATCTGGAATCTTCTTAGCAACAGGTGTCTCCTTCCTCTTCATGTTGGTCTTCCTCTGAGGATCAACAGGAATTCCTTCATGGAATGTACCAATTTCCCGGAACTTAAGCATGCGATGTTTTAGTAGATCCTCGGTTTTCATCTGAGTAAGTTCCTATGCAATGAGACAAGCCAGAGATTTATAATTAGCATACGGTTGTGTATCTGATTTCAGTAGAAAATTTGCTCAACGAAAAACTTACATCCATGGCTTCATTGATTGCAACTTTTATCTGCTGTGACACCCAAGATGGATCTGCATGTGCACCACCAAGTGGTTCCTATTGCCAGAAACAAACAAATGAAATTTCAATTAAAGGAACAAAGAATGATCTTTTATCCACGTACAAATACATAAAATGAGAAACTATTGCCAGAGGTACCAGATTTGACAAAGCTAACAACTTATTTTGAGGGTAAGATATTGTGAAGTTTAAATTCATGTGTACGGAAAAAAGCATTACGTTTCAGAAGCCGCATCTCTGATGAAACAGGAGTAATAGCCATTTCATACCATTTATGCCACTCTTGGTGAAAAGGAAAAGAATGTAAGAAGGTGAAATATGAAATGACACTTGTGTTCCTATCTTAAACTAATAGGAAAATAATACTATTAAGTAATTATTATAAGCATATAACAGACATTGAATAACATTTTTTCTTTCCTGTGCCCCATTCCTTTCTCTCTGTCTGGTAACAAATGCTGTTATGACGTAAGCTCTATTGATAGGGTGACACAAATTAATAACAGGGGTCTGAAGACAACCAAAAAAAAAAAAAAAAGATTAAGAGATATAATTATTAGGATCGTTACCGGAATAATACCATCTGCAACTTGCAATTTGCACAACTCAGGCGCTGTAATCCTGAGCCTTTCAGCAGCCTAAAAAGGGAAAAAAGTTAATGGTATATGCTTTGGCATTCAAAGTTAGGGTTAATACAGGGTTTGTGTAAACCTTTGGAGAAGCTTTAGCACTCTTCCACAAAATTGCTGCACATGCCTCTGGACTAAAACATAAAATAAAGGAAACCAAACCAGCATAACAGCTTATAAGTCAGCACATAAACTTACTACAATTGTTAAGGATTAACAAGAACTGAAGATTCGACCATATAACCACAAGGATGTCAAAGAAACCAAAAGTCATACATTCATCCATAAAATACACACAGGTTTAAATCTGAATATGGTGGAAAATTTGCCAATTTGACACCTAGAAATGGCTTGCTATCACTTTAAAAAAATATTAGGTTAAAGATTCATGGTAATCATGTCTTGACAGCATTTTGAGAGACAGGGAAGCATTTCGTTAATTCAGTCAACTTGGTCTATCAAAATCCTCTTCAATGCAGCAAATGTGGAAGCTCACACAATGTTGTTTATGGGGGAAGAATAAACCTTTGCCACCTAGCAAGTTCTGCACCAAGAATAACAAATCCATCCATGGGCAGTTTGGGTGTATACATATCGATATGATAAATTCAATTTTTCTTCGACTCTGGCAGGGTAAGGTGCACAATAGTCAATGCCTAGGACTAAGATCGAGCACAAACATAGCATGTCTCACACCCTCCTGATTGGCGATTAACATCATCAATACACAGTAGTTATCACGTAGCATTATTTTGTCAAATATAGGAAAGACTATCTTAGTATTTTTGACATTGTAAGATATGGGGGAACCAGCTATCAAATATCAATGTGCTTGAAACTTGTTATCAAAAAGAGACCCCACTCTTATGTGTACGACACAATATATATCTAGAAAATTCCATAACTTCTTTACTGGGGAAAAATCATGAAAAGATAAATAAAAAATGCAGTGGCTCAACTTATGTTCATTCAAGGATCACTAATCCTATCAATCAAACCTTTACAAGTTCCTATTAGTTCAACTAAATGCCAGAATCGAGATCATTAGTACGGTTAAACTTGTTTAATTGGCAATATATTATTTGAAAGAAAAATTTCAAGACATATAATATATTCTCCACTCTGTATTCTCAACCTGATCCCCAATTGTATCAAAATTGATATTTAAGCTAACTGTGTTCCCCGCTTCATACTGTCAGATATGTCTCCCCCGAAATTACTTGATATGCATAGGCAGAAATATGCTGTGCAGTAGTTTCCTATGTAGAAGGAGAAGATGAGGGTGGTAAATTGCATCACTAAAGACACATCAATCCAGATACTGCTAAAAACAATTAGACAAAACTTCTATGAGCTAAGCCAAAGTCCTAGTTATGTCAAATCTAATAATTGTTTACATATTTGATAAATGAAAGAAAAGCATCCTCCTACAAAAGTAAAAAAAAAAAAAAAAATTCTATTTTTCAATATAAGAGATGCATTCACCGAGAAGACAAATGAATAGAGGTTGACCAAAAAGCACATTATAAGAATATTAGTACTATATTATTAGAAGCAATCGTAAAATTGAAAACACAGTATCCGGTACAATACAGTTCTGAGACAAATATCACAGATAATATCAATAGAATAGAAACTGCAACCATAAACCACAGATAATTTGCAAGGTTGACCTATGATATCCAGATAATTTGCAAGGTTGACCTATGATATCCATCTAAGATGCAGTAGAAAAGAAGAGGTACGTAATTGAACCCAAAAAAAAAAAAAAACCAACAATAGAAAATTTTGCAAGGATTAGGTCAAAGATTTAAATCACCTGGCCACATAGAAAACTGCATTTTCAAGCATTAGTAATTTATTGGCACAGCCAATGGCAAGCGCACCACCAGAACCTCCCTCTCCAATAACTATAGACACAATTGGCACCTTCAGACCAAACATGGTCCTCAAATTGTGGGCAATGGCTTCACCCTGCATGCAAGAAAATAAATCAAACAGATTAACATAATTAAAAAAAGGACGCCGAAGTGGAATCGTCCAGCATACTTAACTACATACTTGGCCTAGTTCCTCTGATTTAAGGTCAGCATATGCCCCAGGTGTATCAATGAAAGTGATTATGGGGAACCCATGATGATCTGCATAACGCATCATGCGGAGAGCCTTCCTGTAACTGATCAAATTAAAAATTTATAGTCAATATTAAACGTAGAGAACATAGATAGTTCCTAGACCAAGTCAAGCAAGTTGAGAAGAGTCATCATCCCATCTTAAATCTAGTCGGTTTCTCAAATGTTAAAAAAAAGACGGAAGGGTTTTAAAGTGCCAACATACCCATGAGGAGTTGGCATCCCGAAGTTACGCTGTATGTTTTCTTTAGTATTTCGACCCTTCTGGTGACCCATGAACATATATCTTCTACCATCTATGGTCCCTATACCAGTAACAATAGCTGGGTCATCATAACCTGCCCGATCACCATGGAGTTCCACAAACTGCAACATGAGGAAGCATGAGATTCTACTAGCATTAGTTGTTCAGCAACAATTAACTAGGGATTTTAGAGTGTAATTACAAAATAATAATGCACAGTAGACCTTTTCAGTCATGTTAAAAACATGATCAAGGAAAGTAGGCCTGTTAGGATGCCGTGCGATGCTGACACGCTGTATAGGAGTCAGATGTGTATATAAATCCTTTAAAGCCTGAAATAACAAGGGAAGCCATGAGGAAAATGCAATAGGAAGTATTTCATATTCATCAATTGTTGTTGGGAAAAGAAAGCATTAACATCTTTGATTCACTTTAACAGTTAAAATCATAACTGTAATTAAAAAAAATGCAAAACTTGCTAAGAAGCTGGAGTGTAATATTTGCAGTACGAGAATTGCCAAATGAACAATAATCATGCACTCATGCTTAAGAGGTGCGATTTGAAGGACGGTGTTGGGGAATGTGTAGATATATTATCAGTTCTTATAAGGACTCTCAGCACAATAAAGCAATCAATTTTTTTGTCGAACAACAATTATGATTAGACCTGCTGATATTTGGTCTCTAATGAGATAATCTGATCGCTGAAGTCCAGACCAGTTTCAGATGCCATCTTGCGCACCTACCAAAAAAGAAAATGTACAATCTTGATGAAGCAGACTCAGGAATTAATGCTCAGTTAAACAGACAAACCACACCAGCACACAGGAAATTACATCAATAATCTTCTTTTCCAGGCCAACAAGCGGCTTCTCAAAATCCAAAGTGACTGGCTTTTGTTTCTCTTTCAGCGGCTTGAAATACGAGAGATGACTTAGCACTCCACCTTTCACATTGGGGTCAGGGTCCTTAGTCCAGGGATATTCATGCTTCTTCACCTTCCTAAGCTTGGCGGCAACTGTAAACTCCCTTCTTTTCAGACCTAATCGGGCCCTTCCTAAAGTTCTCAAAGGGACACCACTAACACCATTAGCCGAACTTCGGAGAAGATCAGAAGCTGAAGTTCCAGCGAATGCTACTGCACAGTGAGATGCAGAAGCCATCCTCCGTATCCAGTGGCAACTTGCGGTGATTCCACACCAGGATTCTTAAATCAGATCACCCAAACCTCCACTTCTGAAGCCTGTAAACAGTTAAATTAGAACCCGAGAAGAAATCCAGAAATATCACCATATAGATGAACACTTTTGCAAAAAGGAAACAAAGCCAACAAAACTCAAAGCTGTATCAGAACACTTGCAATAAACCCATCAGCTGACACAAGCTCGATTCGTTCTTTTCTTTAAAAAAAATACCTGAAAATAAGAGAAGTTGCAGAAGCGTGCGTGGATACGGATTGGAAGATAAATGGGGAAATCCGAAAAAAGGGAGCGAATGAAGGAAAGGAAATAGAGGGTTGCTAACGAATGAGAGAGAAAAGAAGGGTCATCGTGGAGATCGTCAATGAATATTGTTAGCTACGGTTGTGGTATTGTTCGAAGAGACGGGGTTGGGGGGGCGATACTAACAAGGAGAGTGTGAAGGGGACCCCCGTGTAGAATTAAGCTTAATCGATCGGTTTATAAATGAGGCAGCTTTTTTCGGTTTGGCCGTTAAGCGACGAAATTTGCTGCTGCTGTATGACCCAAGCATGTCTGCATTGTGCGATGCGATCTTTCCCTCCACGACTTTTCGAGTTTCGACAATATCTTTTTTCTTTGTAAAATTGTAAGATAAAATTTAGAAGAATGACGATAAAATTTGACCAATTTCATAATTTCTATGAGTCCATACTTTTTTAATATTAATAATTTTAAATTAAATAGTTAAATTGTCCGTTACTTAAAATAAAAAATAATTAGTTAATGTAAAAAATTATAATTTTTTGTTCAATCTTTATAATTTACAAAATAAAAATTGTAAGTGTTTAAATAAAAAATATAATTAGTTATTTTTATAACTTGAACTTAATGATAAAACAAATTTTATATGAGAAGTTGTAATTTATTATTCAATTCTTGTAATTTATAAAATAAAAATTACAATTATTTAAATAAAAGTTATAATTGATTATTTTTAAAACTTAAACTTCAATAATAAAAAAAAATTTTACTTGAAAGTTGTGATTTTCAAAACTTATTTATCAATCAAAAAAAAAATTTATGTAGAAAGTTGTAATTTTTTTATTTAATTTTTATAATTTACATAACGAAAGCTATTATTGAAAAAATGGAGCTAGACTTATTATTTTTATTTTAAATAAATAGTAATTTAGTCATTTAACTTAAAATTATTAATATCAGAAAGGTACTCAAAAATTTTAAAAGAATTATGACATTTTGAAAAACATCATTATCAATTATATATTATGGTAGGATTTTATTGTTATTTTTCTAAAAATTTATTTGTAAGATTAATAAATTAAAAAATTGAAAAAAACATATGTAAAAATATGCCACTAATATAAATTAAAATTACATTTTTTTCCCATACATTCTATAAAACAGAAAATGTGTTGCATTATTAGTGCATGGAAAATATTTGAGCTTCGCAACTAGAGAAAAACATAATTTTATTGAGTTTTTGGCCTTTATAGTTTTATTAAGTTTTGCTTTCAGTTTTTATAATTTTTTTAATGTAGGGATTAAAATCACTAAAAAAGGAAAACAATAAGGACCTGAAAAATAAAAATCACCCAATCTTTTTGAAACTATGAGAACTAAAAATATTAAAAAAATTATAAGAATTAAAAACAAAATCAAATAAAATTATAAGGATTAAAGATTGTGTTTTCTTTAAAAACTATCATCAACCAATCTATAATTACTTACTTTCATTAGTTGAGGGCGTTGGATTGGTTTATTCTGAAATTTAGTTTTTTTTTTTTTGTAATTACTAACATGTTTGTTTGACTTTCTACCTCCATTACTTGAGCAATCAATATAAAAAGTAATATTTTAGTTTTTTAATTAAAGTTCTTTTAGTTCAAAAATTAATTACTTTCTTACTTTTAATCAAAAAAATTAATTAGAATTTAACGATAAGTGATAACCAATGCACAATGTTACTTTCTAAAACAATTGGACTTTTATATAACTATGCAGGAAGTATTTTGAAATTTAAAACCAAAATAGTCATCGCCTTCCTCACGCCTTCATCGTCTTTTCTTGTTCCTCTCGTCGTTTTTCATCATTTTCCTCTCCAAAAATCCCAGCTCCATCTTCTTCCAAAGATTGAGGACCAATTGCAATTCCCCATCCAATCTTCAACAGCAAGGTTTTCCTTGCTCGTGGTTTTTTAATGTGATTGCGTTCTTACAGTCTTGCTTGTGGATCTTCAAGCTCCATCAAAAATATTATACATAACTTAAGGTTTAGAAGAGTTATCTGTATATCAATCAAAATTTAGGAGCTTAAATACACATAAAAATAAAGTTTAAAGGGTATATAATTAATTGTTAGGAGTTATTTGCATAAACTTGAAAGTTTAAAAAATTTATTATTGATTTTTAAAGGTTAAGGGGTTTGTTTGTATGTGGTTTAAAGCTCACGAGAGTTGTGTGTAATTTACTCTCATTTATAATTTTTATTTTGCCCAAATCTTTTTTAATTCTTCCCCTATTGGTTTTTTTAAGCAAAAATGAGGCCATTTTATTAATATCAAAAGAAATATTACACTCTTCTGTTCAAAAAAAAAAAGAAATATTACACTCACCAATCCCTCGTAAAGCAAGAAACAAAAACAAATATCTAAGTACAACCTATAAAAATCAGAAGCAAGAGAGAAATGAAGCCTAAACTTACAACCTAAACAACACAAACAAAAACAAGAAATAAACCAAAAGCAACCAAAGTAGCAACAGACTCAGCTAATGCCTTCTTTCTCAGCAACACCTGAATTACTACCATCCTAATCCTACACAGTTGTACCCTTCACATTAAGCGCTTCTACCATAGAAATCATAAATCAAGATAGAAAAAATAGAAGATGGTGGCTTATAGAGCCATCCTTGTGGTACCTTGCTTCTTATAACTTGTGCTTTACTCCAATCTATAGCATTATTCCCTCTCATTTAGACTAAAGAGAAAGAGTATAACTCATTAGATCCCCAAAGCTTAAAGCGCTTCTATAATAAATCATAATAAGAGTTATCATAGACCCTCATAACTCTAACCATCACCTTTTTATAAAGGTATTACTAATCAGTTTTAATCAAAACTTTCCCACTACTAAACAAATCCCTTAATGATAGTGCCTCCAACCTAGCTAAACACTCAACTATAAATGCAAACTCAACAACTACTATCCTTCTCACCCTCCTAAAAATTTATCATGTGAATCTCTGCCAATCACCCCAATAATAGCCTTTCTCCTTCTCATACAAAAAGCCCTATTTATATTCAACTTAACAACCCCTTCCATAAGTTTCTTCCAGACCAATTATCACTCATTAACCCCAATAGGCCCTTGCACCTTCTTTTTCCTCGCCATACGCTCCCAATATTCCTCCTTTAAACCAGCAGCCTTGCTTAAACAAAGATCAACATTAGTCCTAAGATTCTCAAACATGAAATTACATCAAGTTTTCCAAATCATTTGGAAAATAGGGCTACTACCTAATTATCAAACACTTGCTTATTCACTAACCAATCTTCTAACCACTTATCCACTCTCCATGAATTCCATTTATCAAACTTTAAAGTAAGAGGAGAAGCAATAAGCTCCTTTTAAGCCATGGGCACACAAAGAGCATAGGCTCAATAGTTTCACTATGCTTATTACAAATACCACAGATAGGACTATTCAAGCACTTCCTCTTATATAATGCTTATCTTGTTGCCATTGCCCCACTACACACCCTTCACATGAAATAAGCAATTTGAAGTGGTATTTTAATTTTCCACATCCCTTTCCACAATTTTTTGTAAACTTGAAAAGAACTACTAGGATCTTTTAAAGTAACAGGTCCCTCTACTTTTATGGTTGATCTGTATCCAAACTTCACAGCGCATTCTCCATCCTTACTTCCTAACTATAATTAACTCTATCTTCCCCACAAACCACAGACAAGAGAACACTATTAATTAACTTTATATCCTTCACACTAAGCCACCTATCGAAAAGCTCTGGTCTCCATTTACCATCATATATCGGGTAACTAAATCTTGAAGACTTTATCTCATCTTTAAGCACTCCTTAATTTAACTTATGATTCTTAGCCATAGGAGTCTAGTGATCCTAAAAAAACTCACCTTAACACTATTAAAATTATCCAACATAAATTTTTCTCCAACAGCTTCCTCCTTTCCAAAATACTAGTCCTCCCTCAAGAAGCTCTTCCTCTCTTTACAACATGTATAAAACCAAAGTTTGGATAATACAACCCTTTCAAAATTCTACACCAATAATTATTAGGATTTTGGGTTATTATTGTACAGTCCCTTGAAGTAACCACCAACTTTACCCAATTACGCCATAACACATCATAAGTATAGGCTAGGTGAGAGAATTGGACTCTAACAACCCACCTCACCCAACATATGCTAGCACAATATAGGAAACACCAATAACTGAAACAAATAATCAAAACACTCCCAATGTGTCATGGACTGTGCCACATGTTTCACAGTGATGAGTGTGGTTACTCACCTTTAAAAATAATGCTAAACTAACCCTAACATAGCAAAGGGTCAACTTAGGTCATATCCCAATGGAAGTATCTACTAGTTTAGTTATAGAAATTGCTTGAGTGAAATAGGTTAAATTCTAAATGTTTAGGGCTTAAATTGATTACTAAAGCTAATTAAATAAGGAAAATAAGTTAGGGGCAAAATTAAAGTATTTGATAATAAAGTATGAATGGGTAGATTCCTAATGCTTGAACTAGAGAGAATTCCTTGCCATTTAAGTCATTAACTAAGAATTATGATCTCACTAGTCAAAAGTGCAACTAAGTTCGGTTAAACCTAGTTGGTTTTAGCTAATGACCTAAACTTAGTCCTAAATTAAGTAATTAAAGTTATGACCATCACCTAAATGAAGACTCCTAGTGTGTTTTAATCTAACCAAGGCACGGCTCTCTCTCTAAAATCACTTAAGCAATACAAGATTATATAACACAAGAGTAAGGCTAGAAATCAATCCACAAGATTATGTAAGACTAATTCCAAGCAAATTCACATTAATAAATCACAAAATTATGCAATTCACCAATATGGTAGCATTCAGAAGAGAGTCAAAAGCATAGAAAAGATTCAAACAAGTCATCTTTCATTACAACAAAGTCTACTCAAATTAAAGTATAAGCCAATCACAATGTAACCTAAATCTAGAATTACAAAGTAAAGTAAAATGGAAGAGCTAGGTCAAAGTAATTCTTATCCAAATATGTAGGTCTAAAATGGTGGCTTATCCTCCTTCATCCTCCCTCCAAAAACCAAAATTGCCTTGCCTTTAAGCTCTATGGAAGTCTCCTTTAAATTCTTAAGTTGACTGAAATGCTCCACAACTTCAAGTAGAGATTAAGGCTTTAGATAGAAGATCAAAGTAGGAATTTATAAAGGATTATAATAAG